CTATTTAAAAAATTCCAGTATGTCTTTAATTATTAATTACTATTTGAATGATTCAAATTAATATTTAAGCAATTAATACACAGTTTTAATAAAAAAAAGTAATGAATATTGAACTGTTAATTATTATTTAAATAACAATAAGTATTAAAATATTAATTGCTATTTAAATAGTAACCAGCATTTAAATATTAATAATTAATTATGTTATAAATCCCACTAAAATATTCATTACTAATAAAATATTCATTACTATTAAAATATTAATTATTATTTAAATATTTTTTAATATTAAAATATTAATTATTATTTAAATATAATTTAATATTAAAATATTGATTATTATTAAAATATTATAATTGCTCTTTAAAAAATCATTGAGTACATAACAATTTCCCAAAAATTAATAAAAATTATGCATTTTTTTGCTTCTTTTTTAATAATTCTATAAATTTACTGCTCGCGAGTCTCTGTGGAAATGGTAACGCATCTTTTAAAAGTTGGTCATCATTGATATTTCGTATAAATAGGGGGGAAATATGGGACCTTATAAGCAAGAGGTTAGATCGGTGGTGGTCTTTTGTCGCGGGTGGCATTTTCTCCCTTTTGTATATACATATATATACATGCACTTATATATTTGCCACAATGGCAAAACAAAGCGTTGCCTCGGAAACTGGCGGGCGTTCGTTGCCATCACAAAACTTTCAACTTGTGACTATAAACATTAATGTGTCCTACATGAAACAGCGTGCACGCCCTGCGCACGCAAGTACGCGTGACACTTTGTCCCTTATATTTCTCCTTTTTTTTAAACATTTCAAAAATTGCACATGTCCATAAATATATTTTTCTCTTATTCTCAAAAAAAAAAAAAAAACTCTATTGATACCTAAAAAATTCCCCCTTAGTATTGTCACTTGCACAAACCGTTAATTATTTTTTCACTTACAATATGCTGTAAATGACATTGAAAAACTATTCTTATATAAATTTTTCAATTTAAAATCCAGAAAATTACAAATAATATTCAAACTTAATTTCATTAATTAATAATATTTATATTTTTATAAATAATTGATATTTTTTCAATACGTTCCAGAAGTTATAGCAATAATTTACTGTATTATACAGGGAATATTTTTTGTTTACTTCTTCCTTATTTATTATGGAATATTTAATTATTTAATACAGAATATTTTTCAATTTGAAAAAATAATATATTTATATAATTAAAAAATATTTCTATATAATTAATAAAATAAAACAATGAAACAGAACTAGTTTTATAACAATAATAAAATATTCAAGTTTCACTGAATAAATAATTGAAACAAAAATTTTTTCCCCAAAAATATTAACTCTAAAAATGAGATTTCAAAACTTCTGTTCAACGTTATACCGAAAAATAAAGTATTAAAAATTGGAAAATGATATTTCAAAGAGGTATATAGAAAAGAGAGGAAAATATAAAGTAAACTTTCGTCCAATCCTCCAACACAACAGAATGCATTCAGCACAGTTTTTAAATTCAACTAAAATATCTTTTGGGAATTGAATATAAAAGTTACAATTTAAAATTTTCCGTTCAAATAAACTTCGTTTTTATAATATTGACATTTCAGCAAAAAAAAGGAAGAAAAAAGAAATGTAAAAAAAATTTTGACAAAAAAATTTCAGTTAACAAAGAAAAATATTTGGACAAAAATTTATTATTTGTTTATGAATGAATAAGTAAAATAATTTTAAAAATATTAAGCATTACAAAGAAATTAATATATTATTTTTCAGGTCAATTTTTAAAAGAAAAAATTGTTTACAGTATAAATAAATAAAAATTAATTAGAAAAAATTGTCCACTTTTAAAAATTAACAAATAAATTAAAAAATTTGTTTAAAATCACCAACAAATAAAAATTAATTTTATTAATTTTAAAAAATGGTCCAATTTTAAAAATTAATTATTAATTAGCAAAATCTTTCTACTTTTAAAAATAAATAATTAATTTTAAACAATTGTCCACTTTTCAAAATTAATTCTTATATCTAATTAAACAAAGTTTCTACTTTTAGAAATTAATGATTAAATTATTTATTAATTAAAAAACATTTCCCCACTATTCAAAATTAATTATTTAATTAACAAATTAAAATAATTTGTCCACTTTTTAAAATTAATCAATTTTGAGATAAAAAATTGTCCACTTGTAGAAATTACGTGATTAATTTAATTATTAATTAGAAAATTTTTTGCTTTCAAAAATTAATAATTTAATAAATTTTTATTTATAAAAAATAATCATCTTTCAAAAATTAATAATTGAATTAATTAATTAAAAAATTAAATTATAATTAATGAATTTTAAAAATCGTCTATTTTTCAAAATTAATAATTAAATAAATTAATTTATTAATTTGAAATAATTACCCATTTTTAAAAATTAGGAAATTAAAAAAATTTCTCACTTTTAGAAATCAATAATTTAATTAATTTAAATAAATTGTACTTTTTTTTAAATTAATAATTAAATTATAAATTAAACAAAATTGCCCACTTTTAAAAATTATTGATTAATTTAATTTTTAATTAGAAAAAAGGTTCTACTTACAAAAATTAATAATTAAATTTTAAAAAATGTTACACTTTTCAAAATTAATAATTAAATCAATTATTAAATTATGAATTAAAAAAAATTGTCCACTTTTAGAAATTATTGATTAATTTAATTATTAACTAGAAAAAATGTCTACTTTTAAAAATTACTGGTTAAATTAATTAAAAAAAATGTCCACTTTTCAAAATTAATAATTAAATCAATTATTAAATTATGAATTAAAAAAATTGTCCACTTTTCAAAATTAATAATCAAATCAATTATTAAATTATAAATTAAAAAAAATTGACCACTTTTAGAAATTATTAATTTAATTATTAACTAGAAAAAAATTTCTACTTTTAAAAATTACTCATTAAATTAATTTAAAAAATTGTCCACTTTTAAAAATTAATTATTAAATTAATTTAAAAAAATTGTCTACTTTTCAAAATTAATAACTAAATTAATTAAAAAAAATTGTCCACTTTTCAAAATTAATAATTAAATTAATCATTAATTATAAAAGAAACAAAATAACATTAATTCCTTCCATGTGTAAAAGAAAAAAAGGAAAGAACTGAATATTTCAATTAAAAACAAAAAGAAAATAATGAAAACTACGGGGATAATTCAATTAACAGCTAATGTGAATGAAAAGTGAATTGAAAAACCGTTTCTAATGTGAATTTGAAGAATCATTTATGAAATTACGCAAGGAATAATATTGCAATAAACTCGATTCCTTGAGTATGTTGGCGATCACACCTGAAAGTTCCTCTCCCTTCCCTCTCTTTCTCTCTCTCTCTCATCTGTATCTTTTTCTTTTTGAAATTTACCGCCTTGCAAGTGTTTGTGCTCCGCAACAACTCGTAGACCTTGGTTTGTGCAAGTCCAATACTTTTATGGAGATGGAATGCAGTAGCTAACGTTTCATATATACGAAACCAATGCAGGTATTGATGATGGTTTCCCCATTCTTAATGCACAACAAGATATACAGGATATTATACATAATATATAAATAAATATAAATGTGAGTGTGTGTAGAAAAAAAGGAGAAAAATCAATCTACATTTATTCATGACTATCTAGCAAAATAATATTCATAGGAATTGCAAATCACAAACGAGTTGTCTCTCTTTAAGTCACAAATCAAAATTTACCCGTGACGAAGATTGATTTTTCTGTAATATGAAAAGAATATTTATAAAAACTAAAGACACGAAAAAACAAAAAATCAAACAGAACCAAAATTTTAAATTTTAAATTAAGATACATTAAATTAATTACCGAATTTTATTAAGTATTAATAATTATTTAGTCTCTACTTTTTTAATCTATTTTATTTATTTATCAAATTTCAAAATATATTTTCACGTATTTTGTAAAATTTTAAAAAACAATCTCCATCAAGTTTTACGAATTTCTCAAAGTAATCACAATCGATAGTTTGAAAAAATTATATTTCTGAAATTTTGTAATTTGTAACTAAAAGCGAATTGCTTTCAAAATCGAGAATCGACGTTTTAATTACGTTCACACCATAAAAAAAATTAAAAATTGTAATTCAAAACACGTAAACAATTCTAAATAATCAATTTTGTAATTATAATAGAAAAATGATTTTATTTGAGAAAATAATAAATTAAGAAAAAGAAATTTACTCCAGTCGAGAAAAATTTACCCAGTCAATTTTTATTATAAGGAAAAATATTTTTTTAACTGTCCTAATGAAATTGTTTTCCCCCACAAATATAAATTTTCTCCACTTTTATATAAAAAAATGTTTCATTTTCACTATACCCGGAAATTTCCAATTTTTGTAAAAAGTTTTTCTACCTTTCCTAGTGGAAAATTTTCCTCCTAATATACTTGAGAGAAAAAATCCACGCTCTCGAAGTAGAGTTACAAATTGAAAAACATTTTTCTTTCCCAATAAAGAATAACTACAGGAAATCAATTACTTGACTTGAATTTACATTCCCAAATTAATTGTCTTTAACAACTCACCTCACTTTTCTGGGGTTATCCGGCCATGTTTCGGTCGCTAGCACGCCAAGTCGCATTTATTGACTTGGTCGTCGACCCATGTTATAGAAATACCAGTCACGCAATAACAATGAAATCAACTCGACCCACCCCGCATTTGTACAATTACATTTAATCAACAAATTATACTCTAAATATTCAGTTAATGAAAAAAACATTAAATAATGAATGATTCGTTTGAAAAGAGAAAAAAAAATCGTTACGCAAAATAATTCAGGGTTGATGGACAAACGAAATCGCCATGTGAAAAAGAAAATTAACCCCCAAAAAATACGCTGATAATGAGAGGGAAATATTGATGATGCTAGTGAAATAATTGTATGAATAATTATATTGGAGTAATTAGAAATGACTTACCTCGAATTTATTGATGCACAGGACTGTTTTAATGGATGAATTGCAACTCAAAAATATGCAACTTGATTTTATAGAAACCACAGCACAATGGCGCACTACGAACTCCTAGAATGCTGTTGAGTGACGCTAGTTGCAGTTCTTGATTTCCCGCAATGATAATCACTATACCGACATCTTCAGAGCAATGCACTAACCTTGGTGAAGCCCAGCGTTGGGAAGGCAATTATTGGAAGTTTTTGCCTAACGCGTTAAGCTGCAATCACAGTCCGCGCTCCACTTGCGTTCACTGCAAATTTTTTACTTATTGATTGTTTATAGTTTAATTAAAAATTTATTTAATATAAAATATTCACAATATTAATTAGGATTCATTCTTTATATTTTAAAGATACAAAGTTTCGAACAAGCGTCAACTTTTCTGCTTAGAACGACCATAGAGATAGTATAAATAGAGTGGGGATGGTTTGCATGTATGCGTCCGCTTGATAGAAAGAGAAAGAAGACTTAACACCAGTAGGTGTCTCTCTTTGCGCTGGTCAAGGACAGATACTGGTGTTAAATCTTCTTTCTCCCTCCAACCCATTCTGTTTATGGCAGGACACTTCCCCCACACGCTGCCGCCTATACCTTCCCCACTCTATTTATAATATCTCTATGAGAACGACACCAACGTCACTTTAAAATGAGCGCAGTGAATATAGCAGATAACAGTAATGCCAACATAAGAATGTGGACATGGGCGGTAAAATTTAAAACTATTCAATAAAATTTTTATTCACGAACTAATTTCGACTAATTTATAGATCATAAAATTATTTGTTTAATTAAATTAATTAAATACTATATATAGTATTATTTAAATAAATTTCAAAATCTATTATTTAATTTATACTCACAAAATTAATGAACTGCCTCTGTATAACGTTCAGCACGAATGGGACTGAAAAAGAAAAAATAATCAAATTTTAACTTCCTGTAAAAAAAGAATACGGTTTTTTTTATTTTATAAAGTTTATTTTTCTCTAAATTGATTTTTGTATCGTAAATGCAATTTATAAATAAAATATTTTACTATTCTTTTTCAAATGACAAAAAAGCCATAGAACGGAAATAATATGAACCAACTTCATTGTAGTTCAGTTCATTTCCACTAGATGACTCTTTTCCGAAAATTTTGAGGTTAGGTTTGCATTTTGCAAATTTCCAAAATATTTTTTATTAAATTCACGAGTATTTGAATATATTGCAAAATTGTGATTATTTATGCAAAATTAATCGTAATTATGTAAAGATGCTGACAATTAATTATATATATATTGCGCAATAACATAGAAAATTGTCAATCTATTGTCGATTTGATATGAATCTTATTGACAAAGAATATTACTGTTTTTTGACTTTTTCTCAGCAAACTTTTACAAACTATTGTCTATTTAGTTTAAACAAACCTTAATTACCAATAATTATTAATAATGAATCGAGGATTTACGTGGTATTAAAAGATTACAAACGTTCCCAACGAGCTACACTCTTTCTACTTCTAACGTCGCCATGACAGTGAATAGCACGGTCAACATTGCCAACCCTGCAGTCGAGCAAATTTCAAGTCCCACCAACATTCAAAAAATAAAATTCAAATTTAAAAAAGCATAAATAAAAATTAAGTTTATTATAAGAATTATTATTAATTAATAATTAACAATTTTATATTTTGAAATAAAATAATTAAAAACAAAATTAACTGTTTCAAAACGAAAGGAAAATTTGATGAACAAAATAATAAATTGTTAATGGTTTTAAAAAATATTGTCATTAACAATAATAAATTAATTAATTATTTTTGTTCTTTAAATTATTGAAATAAATAACAATAATAACAATTTTTAATAAAAGAATTAAAAAAAACTGTTTTAAAGCAAAGAAAGTTTAATGAATAAATAATAAATTGTTAATTATTTAAAAAAATTTGACAATAACAATACAAATTATTTATTTATTTATAATTGTATATTATTATTGTATACAATATTTTTTTTGTATAATGCATAATATTATTGTATAATAACATTATTAAATGATTAATTAATTTATTATTGTTAAATTAATTAAAATAAATTATTAATTAATAATCAATACTTTTATATTCTTTAATGAAAGAATTAAAAACAAAATTATCTGTTTAGAAATAAAAAAAAATCAATTTAATAATAATTTGTTAATTTTTTGAAAAAAATTTGTTACTTTAACTTTCTTTCATTTTTTTCACAAAATTATCTGTTTAAAAATAAAAAAAAATTAATAAAATAATAAATTGTTAATTTTTTGAAAAAATTTGGTTACTTTAACTTTTTTTTCTAAAGAAGCAATTTTAACAAGTGAATGAAATAAATAATAAACAAATAATCAAAAATATTTAACAATTATTAATTAGTGTTTTAAAAAACTTTTTGTATAATCAAAAATTATTTTTTCATCCTCAAAAAAAATTGCAAATAAAAGTCACAAAGGACAATGGACTTTTGAGACAAAATTTTTTCGTTGATTTAAAATTAGATTTGTTTTTATGATTTTTTTAAAAAAAAATTATATTTCAGCATCTGCTGGAACCATCAGAAAATCCCAAAGTTCATGGCACGTGCCAGAAATAGACAGCGATTTCCTTGTGTTATTAACGACGCAGGGGGTGCAACGACACTTTCTTTTTTGGTGCATCTCATGAACACCCTCAGTGAATTCTCAACAGCTTTTGAATGTAGACATCTTAAAGTGTGACTAACGATTTATACAAGACAATAAAATATTTATTATTAATTTTTAATATTTTCTTCAAGGACTCTTTGAATTTTGGCAATCAGTGGAAAATATATTTTAACAATTTATTTTTAACCAGCAGGTGAGCTGCTCTCAAATATTACTGATTATTTTTTAAAAAAATAAAACAATTTAATTTTTTAATTAATTAAGTAATTAATTAATTATTTAAATTAAATGTTAATTATACAGTTTTTCTATTATTTAATTAACGATTAATTATTGACTAAATAATTGAAATACTGTTTAATTAAAAGTTAATTGAAATATTGTATAATTAACAATTAATTAAATATTTGAATACTGTTTAATTAATAATTAATTAAAAAATAAAACAATTCAATTTTTCAATTAATTAATTAATTAAATTAAATGTTAATTATATAGTTTTTCTATTATTTAATTAACGATTAATTATTGACTAAATAATTGAAATACTGTTGAATTAAAAGTTAATTGAAATATTGTATAATTAACAATTAATTAAATAATTGAATACTGTTTAATTAATAATTAACTAAATAATTTAAATGCTGTTTATTTATTAATTAATTGAGTAATTTAAATACTGTTTAAATAATAATGCATTAAATAATTGAAATATTATTGAATAATTCAATAAAAATTAAATTATCAGGCTTCACTTAATTAATTGTTACAGTCAGTTAATTTGAGCGTGGAGGCAGAGAAGCTGGAAATTCAATTAAAAAGAGACAGAAATTGAACTAATAAAAAAATGAAAAGAAGCACGGGACCAATAATCAGGATGGTGTCTAATGATACACATGGTGCTGGGGGGATTCAATGTTGTTTTTGCAGATGTTGCACTTGCATACATCTCGAATTTTTCAAAACATTGCCAGGCGTTCTCAAAGTTTGTGAAACTGTAAGTAGTTTCCAATTAATATTCAAATTTTCCAAATTAAAATTCAATGCAAAAAATAATAAATTTAACAATTCGTTACAAAACTAGTTCAAAAATTAATACAGAAATTAATTTTTATTGTTTAGTTTTCAACTACCAGACTTTTAATTTAATTCTACACCCAGAAAAAATTTTGTTTCAACCAAATATTATTTATTTTAGCTAAATAAAAGTACATTTGTCTCAGAGCATGATAAATTTTTTTGTTTTAAATAAATAGTTTATTTGTCATAAATAATATTTTTATTTGAACCAAATAAAATTTGAAACAAATACAATTTGAAACAAGTAAAATTTGAATTAAGTAAAATTTGAAGTAAATAAAATTTGTAACAAATAAAATTTGAAACAAATGAAAATTGCGAGGAAAATTGAACCAAATAAAATTAGAAGCAAATAAAAATAGAAGCAAATAAAATTTGTAACAAATAAAATTTAAAACAAATGAAAATTGAATCAAATAAAATTTGAAACAAGTAAAATTTGAACCAAATAAATTTTGAACGAAATAAAATTTGAACCAAATAAAATTTGAAACAAATAAAAATTAAGCTCTGAGTCAAATAAATTTTTTCTCTAGGTGTAAATTTCGTTATTAATAGAAAAGATCTTTAATTATTTGATAAAAAAGAAATTCTAATTTCCCAGGTGCTTAGCGGATTTATTCAAAGTCTATTAGTTAATTACGGCCTCCGACACAGTTCAACTATTGGAACAGCTTTCGAAGGAGCTTTAACAACATCGTCAGCTTGTTTTTTCACATCGACTGTACTTTTAGCGTGTTACTTTCTCTCCGAAAAATCATATCGACTGATTCGTGCCTCACTTTTTGTAAGTGTTTTGCATCCGTTTTTATTTTTAATCCAATGTTTTAATTTGTCTATATAATATTTTATTCATTTCTAAATTCTTTTTTAAGAATTTTTTTTTACTTTTCTTTCTATTCTCTTTTCTCTCTTATTCAAGTTTGCTTTCTCCATTTTTAGGAAGTAATATTCAACAGTCTGTCCTGCTTCTTTTATTTGAGTTCCGCTTCATTCTTGGCAGTTTCAACAAAAATGTTCCTTATGGCTCAGTACTACGTGATGCCAGGATTCGAAGTTTATCCCGCAATGACAGCAGCTTACGTAAGTTTCAATTGTAAATAATTATTACATTCTCCAAATTATAGGAGAACAATTTTTGAAGTGCTTCTGTAATCAAAATTTCAAATGTAGCATTAATTTTGTCATCTCATCAAAAGTTTCAATATTATGCCAGAATTTCAGTCTAGAGATCGTTAAACATTAAAAATATTTGAATTAAATCTGAATTTAAATTAAAACAAATTTGAAAAAATAAATTCGAAAAAATAAATTTTTAAATTTTCTTTCAAACAGTATTCTGTTTCAAAATTTACAGATGCTGAGCGGCGTTGTGGGCCTTATACATGGAGCAGATGCTTATTTTTCATATATTCATTATAAATCCACGAGATAATTACACAAATTTTTATTTAAAAAAAATAATAATTATTATTAGTATTAAAAATGAATCTAGTCTTTAAAAAAGTTTGATTTATAATCAATCCGAAAGAATGCATTTAAATTAATAATTGCAGTATATTTATTTTTATATTTATCAATTTATTAATTTCTTCTGTTCAAAACAAAATTTAATATTATTTTCATTTGGAGAATTATTAAATTAAAAAATGAATTTCCGAATGAATGTTAATTAATTTGTTAAGCTTATAATTAAACTATAAGGAAGATTTCTCGCTTCTTTCAAATAAAATTGAATCAAGATGATGACATTTAGACGTCATGTATGATTTTCAAGAGTGTCTCAGACAGGAAATTGATCCTAAAGTGGAACAGTTAGTTTGTTTCCAAGCATGAAGCTAATTAGTTAAGTGCCACTGTCTCTCCACTCTCAAATCACTGACTTTACTTTTAGCAATTTACAAAAAAAAATATATATATATCGCCAAATTATTTTTATTTATCGACACGTTATATTATGTACTTTATAATTAAACATAATTACGTCAATTATCGAATAAAAATACATTTTAAAAACAATTTTAGTTCAAGTTCGAACTATGAACTTGATCTGAATCTGTAAAATTGAAATAAAAAATTCTTTTCCATTTTTCTAAATAATTATTTTCATTATCACGAAATGTAAAAAATATAGTAATTAAATAAATTAAAATTAAAATTATAAAATTGAAAATGAATATTTTAAATTAAAAAGAAATTAATTAGCAATCTTTGATAATAAAAGTCATTGGCAAATTGCATTATGATAATTTACGAAGGTTTAAAAATGCCAAGTTAATTATTAATTATCTAAGGGTAATCATTATTTTTTCAGTATAGTGGAACGATACGAGAGAATTATCAATTACACCGGATAAAGTACGTAATTAAGCTCTATAAGTTTTTCGCAAGCAGCTCGTTATGCATTTGCAGATTTCTTTCAACTTCCAACAATTTTATATTTTATACCGTTGACTATAATTTTCCATATCGCGTGTTAAAAAGTGTTTGACTCCAGAAATTATATACTTCAATTAAACAAAAAAGAACACGGATTCACAGATCTTATCAACAACTATTTAGAAAAAATCAGGAAAATTTTTAAATTGACTTTTTTTAAATTTTTTAGAAAATATTTTCCTTTTAAAAAAAAATTATTAACAAATTTTCAGTAAATAATTTCAATTTCAATAATAAATAATTTCAATTTCAATTCAATGTTAATTTGTGATAATTAAGTAAATTAGTAATTAATCAGATAAAAGGAAATTAGTTAATTTAGTCACTTTCAGCGAATAAGAGATTAATGATTTTTTTTAATTTGTTAGAAATTAAGAGAAAAATGTAAAAAAAATCCTTTAGCGTTATTTATAGAATGAAAGGTTTCTTTCTGAACGTTGTAATATTATTATATATTATACTGTACGTACCGCAATATAAAGCAGTCGAGCATATAATACCGGACAGTAGAAGTCTTCATTCTAAAACGAAGCATGTGGCTCACAGTTTATTCCAAGACCTCGGATTGTTTAACACGTATTTTTTTCAATCTCAAATCCGTTATTGTCGTAATTTTCCTTCTGAAATAAACATTTATAAATTAATAATCAGTCATAAAAAATAGTATTCCTATAATTTTTTTAATTTCTGTTTTCATAAATTTCTTTTTTTAATAACAAATTATTAATTATAAAAGTAAATAATTTATCTTTAAATGTTAAAATTATGACAAACAATTAAATTTTTCAATGAAATTAAATTAAAATTTCGAATTAGATTAAATTAGAAAAATAAAAATTTTGAGTGTAATAAAAAAGAGTGATTACAAAAATGTTTTCTTCTTGCATTAAAGTGTGATCGTGACTTTTATTTTTTTTCCGTTCTTCTGGAAGGTGATCTTGCATCTCAAGCATCGATAATTGAAGAATTCTCTCGATAAAGGTCTACCTCGAGGACAATCTCTGAAAAAATGAATAAAACTTTAAACGGTAGGAAAAAAATGGAACTTCATTATTTTCTTTTTAATTTGAATAAATTTAAACTTTCAGAGTGTTAAACTACTAAACTATTTGAAAAATATTTTTTAACATTCTCATCACATGAGAATTGAATAAAAATTATTTAGTTAGGTAATTTGTTAATCTTGTCACTGTATCAAAATATTTTTTATTTTTTGAAATTATAATTACAAGATCAAGATATGAATATTTCTGGAATTGCATAATTGTATCTTAAATCAATTCAAACAAAAAATTTGGGTCACGATAAATGAAGATTAAATTGAATTCAAATTACTTTTTTTTCTAAATAAATAAACAAATCAATCAAATGAAATAATATTAATTTAATTAATTTAATTAATCTAATTTTCTATAAAATTAAATAAATATTAATTTAAATTAAATTAAATTAAAACAATATTAAATTAATTTCTATTGAAATGGCACATTATGTAAATAAATATTTATGAACAATTCAAATTCTCCACATTCAAGTTAAAAATAAATTTTTGTTTTCCTTTGACAATGTTTTACGAGTTTGCAACTGGAATTACCAAATTATACATTGCTGTGCACGATAAGATATATATACAATGCGTTAAAATTATTTAAAAGTGCAAATCAACTTTGATAAAAAAAAAGAATACAAGAATTGTTAGAAAATTCTATAGAATAGAGAATAAAAGAAAATTCTCCATTTTTCTCTCCAATGTCAAATTAGTAAATACACAGCTATAAATTCTTTTCAATGACTGCATTACAATGGCACGTGTAGAAAAATTCTCTAACTGCTGATATCATCATATATATATGAATATTTGCAATCATTCGATTTTCAGAAATAACATTTGCATGCACGTATATTTTCATAATTAATTAATTACAAAATATTTTTCGAATTAATATTATACGTAATTATAATAAGGAAAATTTGTTTTTATTTTCATTCATTTTACGTGATAAGTATTGTTGTAACAACGATTGCACGTGAGGTTTAAATGAAAAAATAAACAACAATTCTTTGATTAAAATAATTGTCTGTAAACTTCCTACTTTAAATAAATTTAAAAATTACAATTACAAAAATATTATTGTCATTTAATTAAATATTCGAAAATAAACAGTTGAGGACTATTTTTCCAAATTTGAGAGTTAAATTATTGCAAAGTTTAATTATTAACGAAAAATAAATAAATAACAATAATTGAAAATTCAATTATTTTTTCAGAGATGACTACAAAAAAGGAAACAATTTCTCCAGAAGAGGAAGAAGATGCAATAGTGACACTAGTAATTATTATTGTAGCAGTAATAATTGCGATTATTTTCCTCTTTTCATTGGGACTTTTTCTCGATTGCAAGCACCAGTAAGTTCAAAATTTCTTTCTTTGAATTATATTTCAATTTAATATTAATATTAATTGAAAATTTCTTCATTACTAATACCAGTAACTTCTTAATTTCTTTCTTTAAATTATATTTCAATATTTTAATATTAATATTAATTGAAAATTGATTATTTGAAAAGTAATTAATTAAAAATAATTATCAATCGAAAAATAACTTATTGAAAATAATTATTAACTGAAAAATAATTAATTCAAAATAATTATTAATCGAAAAACAATTAACTGAAAATAATAATTATTAATTGAGAAATAATTAATTGAAAATAATTATTAATCGAAAAATAATTTATTGAAAAAATTATTCCTTGAAAAATAATTAATTGCAGAAGATTATTAATTGAAAAATAATTATGAATTAGAGATAATTAATTCGAAAATAATTATGAATTGGACGAATTAAATGACAGAAATAAATTTTCCAGGGAAAGTGAATCGTTAAATAAAAAAAGGCTCAAGTTAAAATTACCTAATCGCATGAAGAGTAGAGGTCCACAAAAACCAGAAGACTCGAAATCGTTGGCAAATGAAATGTGTCCCACGGGAACCTCCGAATTGGGATATAATATGAGTGATGCTGTAGTTTAAATAAAACTACAGAATAAAAATTCATTTCCGGTTAAACTGAATCCACTTGATCTCAAAGTTTGATTGAGAAGACGAATATCCATTGACGTTTGTTTGCTCAAAATTCATTTCATCGACGTCACACTCACAAGATGTAAATCTGAAAAACTTAACAACTTTATTGAATTAGTATTCCACAAACTCAGACTGAACATTTTTCTTTGAATCCAATATTAATAAGCGCAAGGAAATCACACCAAAGTTAAATATTAATTAGTAAAAAAATGAATAATAATTATTCATTTAAATATTGTTTAATTTAACATTGTTTTCTAATAATTCTTGACTCATGGCAAGGATTCATTCTTTGTTTACGTTCATCTTAAGAATTCATGGTATGAATTTGAAAAAAGGAAAGCATTTTTCTTGACGTCAGTCAATTCTTTGACATAAAATCAACATGATTATCAATTCTATTGTATTTAACGACGTGTTGCTTTAACGAAAATTCATTATCATAAATTTATTATTATACATTTGTTCTAATAATTTATAAAGTATGTTATATATTTATTAATCCACCGTCAGCCTATATTAATTACAAAAATTGTAATTAAATAATTATTGCTCAAACGACTATTCCAGCGATGTAAAAAATAAAAAAAAGGAAACTATTTCTAGGAATGAATGAATCTTAAAATAGAACTGAGTGTAAAAAATTTGTGAAAATAATTTTACGAGAACTTTTACAGCAAATAAAATATTTTTACGTTTATAACTGTCTTTTAATCTATGCACCAAATTAAATATAAATAAATATAAAAATAAATGACAATAAATAAATAAAATAAACTAAAGTAAAATTAATAAATAAAATTAAAATAAAATAAATTGAAATGAATTAAAATAAATTAAAATAAAATAAAGTAAAAAAAAAATAAAATAAAAATAAATAGAAATAACTGGAAATAATAAAAAATAAAAATAATAAAAACATGTTCAAAATAGAACAAAATTCAAGAAGCAAACATTCGATTAATATTAAACGAATGAAAGACAATTGATGTAAATTTGATTACATTTTATTAAATGTTTATCAACGTAATCACAGTATAGCACACATTCGAATTCTAAAATGTAAAAGTATTAAAAAGTAATAAAAATCGATTATTTTTTTTTTCCTCTGAAAAAAATTGTAAAATATGTAAAAATATATTTTTTTCCGTTTAATTCCATGAGGAACATTCCTCTTATCGATTATTTTTCTAAATCAAGCAACGCCCTATATATTAAAAAAAACATTGATAAACGATAGTAAAAATATTAGAATTTGAACTTAATCTCTCAATTTCAATTGAATTCATCGATTATCATTGACGAGTTACATTGAGAATAAGTTTCATTAATGATGCTGTCAATGACATCATGCATTTTCGATGAGCCACATATCTAATCTTCTCCGGAAAAATATACAATAGTTTATTCAATATTTTTATTGCATTTCATCAGAATAGTTTAAAGAAAGTGTTTCGAAAAAAAAAAATTAGGAAAATTTATTTGGACTTATTAATAATTTTTCTTAAATTAAATTTAATTAATTGTAATTAATTAAATTAAATTAAATTAATTAAATTAAATTAAATTAAATTAAATTAATTAAATTAATTAAATTAATTAAATTAATTAAATTAATTAATTAAATTAATTAATTAAATTAATTAATTAAATTAATTAATTAAATTAAATTAATTTAATTTCCCAGTAATTTTTTTCCAATGTAAAAATTAATAAAATACAGTCAATTATTAATAGAAAATAATATAAATTAGTTTTGAATTGTTTAAATAGTTAAATAGAATGTAATATTGTAAGTAAAACTAAACTTTAATTTATTTATACTGAGTTTAGTTAGATTCTAATTTATTTATTTTCCTATATTATTGTTTTCTTTTTCTAGAAAATTATAGGAAAAAATTACAGAAAAATTTATTATAGGAAAAATTATTAGAAGTCCATAATTGCATTTCCTAAAATAATTTTCTTGACAATTGTTAAAAGTATTGTCAAATTCAAAATTACGAGAATTATGTGAATATTTACAATTTGTTCAGTGACACTATCGTCGGTAATTAAAAAAAGAAGAATAATCGTTGAAAATACAGTTTTTCTTTCATAAATGCTTTTCGTTTTAAAATACTGTGTAGTGTACTTTCAAAATATTTAAAATACTATAAAAATCTTGCAGAATGTGCAATAATGAGGTAGTCAATCGAAATGTATCAATTATGCTTTATCAACTATAGCATTTCTGTACTTGTATATATCTCTCTTTTCAAAAACTATGTATAAAATTGTATAATTATTATGCACTAAAAGTGTTTTCTAAATTCATATAGATACTATTTTTTTTCAATTCTCTTTTCTTTTGTTTCATTTCTCTCTTTGTTGTACTCTTTTGTTTTTAATTTGTTTTATTTGTTAACCTGTGTATTTTTAATCTATTAGCCTGATTGTTGTAATTTCAACAATATTTGATTAAGTTGTAAAACTTGTAAAATAAAAAATACTTTGTAAAAAGAGTAAAATATTCGTGAAAAAATTAAAATTCGACCGGTGTTCGACGAAGGTTTTAAAATCAGTCAACATAGAGCCTTGGCCGAAAAATTAGAGTTGCTTGAATTTCCGCTTCTTTTTTGTTATCATAATCTTATTTAAATGTTAGATATTGTAGCACCGACCTAGAACCATTACAATGAGAGCCATGCGAACGTAGACACCAAACTCGGCTTGCCGGAAATAAGCGGCTCTTGGATCCGTATCGAAGTCGGGACTTATTTCGAAAACACGAGGAAGAGGATGCATCACGACCATTTTCCTCTTTGCTCGCGTCATCAGCTCTGGCGTCACGACAAATTTACCACACGACTGAAAATGCGTTTTTAAAATTATTAGACGATAAATATTGAACGAAAAAAATAGATAGAATTTATATTAATTTTGTTCTCTTTATCTTATCTTTTATTATGTGTAATTCCTTTTTTAGCATGTAACTAATTTGAATTTCTTTTTTTTATTTTAATCATATTGAATATTGTATAGTAAATTTTTAAAATTAATTTAATAAATTCATTAATTTTTCTTTTGTAAAATACCTTGTTGTACTCTTCTTCGCTGGTGAAACGCTCTTTTTGTATTCGCGTCATGTAGAGGATGTCCGTGTCGACAATGGCGTCTTCCAGTTTGTCTATTTTCTTCTGATGAATACCACGTTCGGCCACGTAAGACATTACGTGTTCCGGCATGCACAAATTTTCCGGACTAACGTATCTCAGTTGCACATTGTATAACGTCAAGAGTCTAAAGTAAAATTGTAATGTCTAGTATTATTATTCAATTAATTTAATTAACAATGGAACAATTTCTTTCGAAAATTGTTGAAAATTGAAAATTAGTTTCACTTCAAATAGTAATTTGAATCCTTCAAATTTCAAATAAATAATTATTAGAATCTTTCAAATTTTAGATAAATAATTATTTAAAACTTTCAAATTTTAGATAAATAATTATTTGAATCTTAAAAATTTTAGATAAATAATTTATTTGAATTTTTTAAATTTCAGATAAATATAATTATTTGCAATTTGAGAGATTTTTAATTCAAGAAAAAAAATTTTTAATTAGAAAAAAGTACAAACCGAGCTAGAGAATGGACAGTCCTGCCGTGTTTAAGATCTCCAACCATTGTGATAGTTAATCCATTGACGGTACCGATTTCCTCTCGAATTGTGTAGATGTCAAGGAGCGCCTGTGTTGGATGCTCTCCAACTCCGTCACCAGCATTAATTAAAGGTTTTCTGCACGCGTGAGTTGCTCGCTAAAAAGTAAAAATTAAATCACTAACAATTTTTTAACACAAAAAAAAAAAAATAAAAAAAAAAAAATAAAAAAAATAAAGAAGAAACTTGTAAGCCTTACAGAAACTGCTCCAGGTTCTGGATGTCGGAGAACAACAATGTCTGCGTATCCTGCCATTACTGCCACAGAATCTATAGATAAAAATTTATATACATATAATAAATTAAATTTATCTTTTTGGAATTCATTTTTACTTTCTTTTTCACTGAATTAGAAAATTAAAATTACCCTCTAAGCTTTCTCCTTTTTTAACTGATGATGTTGAACCGTCCATATGAACGACTGTTCCTCCAAGTCGAAGCATCGCCGCAGCGAAACTACAAGAAGTTCTTGTACTCACTTCATAAAAAATGGAAGCCATTACTTTTCCCTGTAGGATAAAAGGTATTCATTAAAAAAAACTCTTCTATATTTATAACTAAAATAGAAAAACAAAATTCTTGATATTTTAATATTTACATTTAAAATAAAAAAACAATTTGAAAATAATTAAATTCACTTTAAGAATTTTTTCAACATTTTTTTTCAATAATTGAATTCTTTCCAGAAAATGTTATTAAAATTATATTGGAAATAATTTAATTCTTGTCAAGATTTTTCTCAAAATTCTTTGCAATAATTGAATTGTTTTGAAGAATTTATTTCAATATTCTTGAAAATAGTGGAGTTTTTTAAAAATAATTTTTACTGAAAATTTTGAAAGTAATTGAATATTATCAAGAATTCAATTATTTTCAATAATTATAATAAAATTCTTAGCAAAAAGTTATATTATAAATAATAAAAATCTTCGTAAAAAAATTCAATTATTTACAAAAATAATAAAATTCTTATTAGGATTTCACTTATTTTCAATACAATTTTAATTGATTTCTTCGAAAATTTAAATTATTTTTAAAAATCTTGTAAAAATTATCCAAGAAAATTCAATTATTTTAAAAAATAATTAAATTTTTCACAAGAGTTCAATTTCTTAAAAAAATTTTTTAATAAAATTTAATTTAAGAATTCATTTATTTTCATAAAATAATAAAACTTTCGCTGGAATTCAATTATTTTAAATACAAATTTTATAAAATTCTTCTCAAAAATTTACTTTTCTTATATAATAGTCTCCACTCTTTGGTAAAAAATTTAAAAAACCGAATTTCTTAAAATTCAACATTTATTCTTCTCTTTTATGGCATTTAGCTTCAATATTTTTGGGCTCTTCAAAAACACTTTACTTATTTAATAGTCTTCACCCTTTGGTAAAAAATTTAAATTTATTAAAAATTATCAAAAATTCGAAAAACCGAATTTCTTAAAATTCAACATTTTCTCTTCTGTTTTATGGCATTTAGCTTCAATATTTTTGGGCTCTTGAAAAACACTTTACTTATTTAATAGTCTTCACCCTTTGGTAAAAAATTTAAATTTATTAAAAATTATCAAAAATTCGAAAAAACGAATTTCTTAAAATTCAACATTTTCTCTTCTGTTTTATGGCATTTAGCTTCAATATTTTTGGGCTCTTGAAAAACACTTTACTTATTTAATAATCTCCACTCTTTGGTAAAAAATTTAAATCGATAGAAACAAACAATAATAAAAATCTTCTAAGTTTTGTTAGATTAAAAGAATTTTTTATTCACAAAAATTTTTAGAAATTTCCCCACTTTCAATGAAATTCTCTGACATTCCCTGACTTTTCCCTGACCAAAAAAATTCTCTGACTTTTCCCTGACTTCCCTGACCGTTAGACACCCTGAATAATCAAGAATATTTAATATTATGTACTTAATAAGTGAATTCTTTAAATTTTGAATCTATAATCATTCAAAAATTGATGTTTATTCTTGAAAATATCAAGTTTTTTAATTTTATAATTTTAGATATTAGTTTACGTCAAAGAATTTGATTCCCACCTTCATAACGTGATCCAATGGTCGTTCCTTCCTTACGTATTGTTTAAAAGTATCAGCGAGACTGAAAATTTCTCTTAGTTGTTGTTTATTGAACATATCCACGGAGAGAATATGATGATTCAAAAGTCCATGACTTCCGGTTGAATGTGATCCAACTGGATGCACAAAATTCGATCCACTATTTGTCCTGAATCTCATACCAGTATTGAAAGGCACTGGAGAAATAATTCGTTGTCCCGCGTTCTTCGACTGATCACGAAAATCTCCTTGCATAAAGTGAACGTTCGACTTCTGGGAAATTGGTTTTAGAAGATTTATCGGTGACTCTGAAAATAACAAATTTACTTCTTAATTATTCATAGTGATAATAACCAACATTAAAATTGTGTTTTTCCTAATTTTTTTAATTAAAAATTTTTTACCAAAAAACGTAAAAAGTTTTAAGAAAAACCAGTAAGTATTTAATTTTGTTAAAACTTTAATTTAACTTGAACGTTAAATAACGAAAAATAATTAATAAACCTCTTTTTAGCGTACCTGTCTGTTCATCTTCGGAAAATTCGACATACTTGCCAAGTTTATCGACATTAGGCGAAATAATTATATCGAGAGCAGAATTTGGACGACTGACATTAACGTCAACAATTGTTTGAGAATTAATTAACTGGTGTTTTTGTTTCAATTGAATTTCACGGACATCTTGTCCAAAGCCAGGATTCGCGAGTACCTGTCCTTCTACAAACGCCACTTCGCCTCGAATCACCACCCTGTGAACCATTCCTCGCACTTTCATTCCAGCAAAAGGTGTCCATTTTGATTTGGTAAATGGCATCGCTTCGGGAATAATCCATTCCTCATCTAGATCCACTTCAATGTACGTGTTCGGTTGATCCGGCAAGTTGAATATTTTTTTTGGATTTAAATAAAACTTTTCGATGAGATCCTAAAAATTCAAAAGTCATTAATTATTCAATTAGAAAATTAAAATTGTGAAAAAATGGTGGAAACATTATAAAAGTTATATTTTTACTCATTCAATTTTTTCAAAACTAAAATAAAGAATTTTTAGATTTTGAATTACAGTTTATTATAGAATATTTTAAGAAAAAACTAAATTATAATTTAATTTAAATATTTACTTATTTTCCTATTCTTTCGATAATGTAAATTATTACATTAAATATAGAATTCTAATTATTAAATCCCAAATATATGTACTTTAAATTTTTCCTGGAACTATTCTAACAATTTGAAAAAATTTCCTCATAAATCTAATAATAAGTAAAAAAAAAGATTAATTTTCCTTTACGCAAGTGTTAAAAAAATTCAAAGACTGCGTACATTTTTAAGAATTTTGAACAAGAATTTCAAATTACGATGCAAAGAAAAGTAAATATTAAGAAAAGGAAAAAGTTATTACAGGTTTTTACACTTTGGCCACGAGTGCATTTAACCGCGAAAATCAATTTAATTTTCAAGATTACTTATCTTTAGAGATAATGATTGTCTGTTTAGGAAAAAAGTTGACATCAAAGATTATAAGAACTTGTTAATTAGTCAATTAGTGCAAAATATTACCTCCATTTTCAATTTCCCATTATACACTGCCGTCAACAATAAGGGAAGAATAGTTTCTAGTCCTGGATATCCTGGTGGTGCATTCTCACTCCCCTTTTCTTCAACGGTATGAGGCGCTTAAAAAATAATTTTCCTTTATTTTATTTGTAAAAAATGTCGAATTTTATTTCTATTAATTAATTTCTATTTATATTTCTATTTACTATATTTCTATAGAATAAATATAGAAAATAGATCCCTCTGGATTTTGAGATTAATAGTTTAGAAAATGAAGAATTTATTTATCATTTCCTACCATGATCGGTTGCAAAGCAGTCGATAAAGTTCATATTATCCCAAAGAGCTTGAACATCTTCTTTCGTTCCCAACATTGGACAGACTCGTCCTCTAGATTGACCGATTCTCTCCAAATCATCTTGACAGAGGAATAAATGTTGAGGACACACCTCGCACGTTACCGGAAGTCCCTGAAATAATTTCATAATTTTCTCATTTCCATTTATCAAATCAATAATTTTACAAAATTAACGCATATATTTACAAAATTTCAATTATTTCAAATTTTAATATAATAAGAATAAATTCACCAAATTAATAATGAATTAATTACTAATTTTATTACCTTTTCCTTAGCAGCTCGAATAATTTGAATCTCCTCTTTTCGTGCAACATGACAAATATGAACGGGCCTTCCATTGAGACTGCACAGTAAAACAACAGTGGCAACAATTTGTTTTTCAGCATGAACGCAGAGAGGATATTTTTTTGGCCAATTTTCAAAATGCTAGAAACAAAAATAAACGAATGATTCAATAAATATCATTGTTTGATTCAAAGAGTTGCGGATATATATGTGGATTTTTTCCCCCTCGTAAGGAGCTTACAAACCTTAATCCATACGCTGAGGTCAGACAATTTCAATGTTGTGAATGTCTCATTTAAATACATTTTCAATGCTGCTGTCATTGGAGCAATTTCCGCAGTTATATTGTAATTTTCAGACGATGCTCCCAAGAAAATTCCATAATCACATCTCGCACCTGTTGCTGCTTTCTGAAGATGAAAATAGAATGTAGGTAATAATTTATCGGTTAAAAGACAAAATTAATTAAATTACATATTATGCAGATAATATTTATATAAATCGTATCTCAATGATTGGAATATATATTCATTTGTGAAAAGATAAAAAGGCATATATTTTTTTCTAAAGACAGAAAAGTTTGAAATATTTCTTGAAAGTTTGAATTTTAGAATCGAAAAACAATTATGAAAATTTATAAAATTAAAATATAGAAATAAAATAGAAAATAGAAAATTAAAATCTAAAGTTAAAATCTAATATTAAAATATAAAATTAAAATTAAAATCTAAAATTAAAATATAAAATTAAAAAATCAAACTAAGAACTGAAAATACAAGGAAATTGTGACAAATTAACAAAAGAAGGAGAAATAATAAAAAAAAATGAAAGTATGAATAAACAAATATCTAATAGTTAAGAATTCTTACTTCTTTAGCTAAACTGAAACTTTGTCGATCAACGATTGCAGGATTTGTATTGGGCATTGCCAATATCACAGTAATTCCTCCGGCGAGAGCAGCCGCTGTACAGGAGGCAAAATCTTCCTTGTAAGTTGCACCAGGATCTCGCGCATGAACATGAACGTCAATAAATCCAGGAAGTTTCATCATTGCTCTCGATGTCATGCAATCTGTGTGTGTTTTCATTTTCGGTGCCTTGCCATGCAGCATTCTCAATGCCTAAAAATTTGCATTTTAAAAAAAAAAAAAAATTAAAAAATAAAAAAAAAAAAATTAAAATAGTTACTTATAAATTATTGTAGGTAGAACAACTAACTTTTAAAAATAATAAATACGTTTAATGTTATTTATTTTATACGAGAAACTGGATTTTATTTATTTTAATGTCATGTTCTATATATAGAAGTAAAAAAATAATTTTTCTTTTTGAAAATAATAAAATGTTTTTTTGAAGATTCAATTAAAATTTGAATGAATAATTGAAAATTAAAAAATAATTGAATTACGTCGAAGAATATTATATATTTTTTTAAATAATATAATTCTTTTTATAAATTTTATTACAAATTTATGAAAATAGTTGAATTTCTCTGAAGAATTTTATTATTTACGAAATAATTTAATTCCTGCGAAGAATTTTAATATTTATGGAAATAATTGGATTTTTTGAACAATTTCGTTAAACTTCTTTTCCAAATAATTGAATTCCTACGAATAATTCAATTAATTCTCAAAATAATTAAATTCTTTAGAGAAATTTTTTTAAAATTATATTCAAAATAATTGAATTCCTGCGAAGAATTTTAATATTTATGGAAATAATTGGATTTTTTGAACAATTTCGTTAAACTTCTTTTCAAAATAATTGAATTCCTACGAATAATTTAATTATTTCTGAAAATAATTAAATTCTTTAGAGAAATTTTCTTAACCTTAGAGATTTAAAATAATTAACTTCCTCTGAAGGATTTTATTATTTTTGAAAATAATTGAAATCCTCTAAAGAGTTTTATTAATTATGGAAATAAAATTCTACCTCTATGAACAAGTAATAATTGAATTTTTTTGAGAAATATTATTAAAATTCTATTCAAATTATTAAATTCCAAGGAAGATTTTTATTATTTATAAAAATAATTTAATTTCTTTGAGAAAATTTATTAAAATTATATTGTAAAAAATTGAATTTCTCTGAAGAATTTTTATTATTTATGAAAATAATTTAATTTTGAAAAATTTTATTAAAATTGCATTGAAAATAATTTAATTCCGATAAAGAATTTTATAAAATAAAAATAATTGAAGTATATTGTGAATAATTTTATTAAAATTTCTTAAACTAATTTAATTCTTTCAACCAATTTTTATTGAAATTTTTGAAAATAAATAAATTCTTTAGACTAATTTTATTTAAAATTCTACCGAAAATAATTGAATTTTTATAAAGAATTTATTTATTTTTGAAAATAATTGAATTTCATCGAAGAATTTTAAGAAAATTGTATAGAAAATAATTGAATTCCTGCGAAAAATTTTAATATTTTTGGAAATAATTGAATTTTTTGAGAAATTTGATTAAAATTACATTGAAAATTATTCAATTGATTCAAAAAATTTCATTCAAATTTTCAAAAATAAATAAACTCTTTCGATAAATTTTATTTAAAATTCTACTGAGAATAATTTAATTCTTACCTCCACAAGAAGTTTGGCACATTTCACATCCGTCACCAATGGTACAGCATAATCAACAGCAAATCTTCTCGTTCGATAGCCATGAGTCAAGAAATTTGACACTCTTCTTGTGTCTCCATTTCGCATCGGAAGATTAATCACCAGATCGAATAATTCCTTAGCTAGGAAATCAGCTAAATGACGAAGTTCCGATGGACTTGAATCCTCGCTCACGGTGATGTTCTCAAACGTCCATTGAACAGGTTCCACCTGAAGGAAACCAAACAATAAATTTAATATTCAGTTCTTTAAATTCTTAATAATTACTAATTACTAATTTTAATACTGATAATAATACTAATTATTAATTACTAATTTTTAAACTAATTACGAATTCTTCTAATTCTCAAATAAAATTAAGACTTCAATTTATTTACTCTTCATCAACTTCCTGACCATATAATTAATTTCAATTATTTCTACACAGAAGATATCTCAAGATCGATGAAAATAAAAATCAAGCAAACGAGGATAAACTTCGAATAAAAAGATCAGAACAACAAAAATAGCGTTTGATGATTCAAAAAATGAAAAATCTCCCTTAAAATTAAATAACTCATAGTTAGCTCATTCAACTATTTTTTTACAATATTTTGATAAATTCAACATCATCATAATTTTTACTATTATTTGCACTAGCTAGCTCATCAAATTCTAATTCTATTTGTCATAAAAAATAAATATAATTGAATTATTAGTCATCGTCAATTATTATCGGCAACCGATATGAGTGACCAATTAAAATCATTCTTCTCTCCCTGATAAAGAGATAGGATATTTATCGTGCCAAACGTTTAACAAATGAAGAGAATTAAATTTTCTAAACAGTCGTTTAATGAATGTTGATTCAATATTATGTGTCTGTGTTGAGGATTATTATTATTAAGCGGCCTTAAAATGAATTGATAGTTAAACTTTTGTTCCTTGAAGATTTTTCAAGTAGTGTTGCTCCTCAAGGAGCAGAAGTGATTAAAAGGTGATGTCCGGGCAGTTTTTGAAAATTTTCAACACCACAATGGGTAATTGTAGGTCCTCGAAATATAATCCATCGGAAAATCAAACATCAAAGCAAAATTCAAGATCGGATATGCAATCAAATAACGCCTCTGATAATAGTCGAGAACATCCATTAGAAGATCCTGAAATCATTAAACTCAAGAAAAATATTAAAAATAATCCCGAAGTGTTTATTCTCAATAATTTAATGATGTGCGTCGACTTTTTTCACAATTATGACGAGTAAGTTTTAATAAATTCAATTAAGGGGGCTATCTTAAAAATTCCTGAAGATCGTCATCTGAATTAAATTTAGAATTAAATTAATTAATTTAAATTAATTAAAATTAAAAATAAATAAATTTAAATTAATTAAAATTAAATTAATTAAATTAAAAAATTATTCTTTAATTTAAATATACGATTTAAATTCAAATTTTTTAAATAAAATTTTCATTTTTTCTAATTTTAGAAATTTTAAATACTGGGAATTCCACTTTGAAGTTTTTGACATTTTTATATCTTATCCAATCAACTTCTGTTTTTGAGAGCTTTATTTTTGGATTAATTCATATCTCGTGTAGCGACAGTTTTACTGTCGAATTGACACTGGATTCTTTTTGTCTTAAAAAAAGAAGAATTAGATAATTTTTTTTATTGAAGTCTTCAAAACTTTTTTCCTACTTAAATATCTGTAGTTTTTCTTAAAGGAATATAAAAATTCCAAAGATATAGTGTTAAAGCAAAAAAAAAAAAACTTTTTACTTGATTTGATCCCGGTTTAAATCTACTTGTGACAGAAAACATTTGCAAATCTTGATTGATATCAGCTTTTCTGTGGAACAAATTTTGTTGAAAAACCTTTTAATGTCTCCCCGTAAAAGATAAACCGTAATTAATCAATTTACTGATAAACGATCGTTACCAATGTGAATGTAGATATTGAACTTTTTTTTATAATACTCTAAATTTAACGACAAACAGTATTTCTGATTTGAAATAATTTTGATTTTGAAATTAAATTTTGTAACTATTTTTTGTAATTAGATGATTTTAATTATAATCATGATAAAAGAAATTAATTTAACAAATTGTAACCGTAGTAAACGACCAAAATAATAAATAAACGAGTAAAATAATAATTATGGTTCAAAATAACTTAAATTCAAAAACATTAAGATTTTCTTGTTTGCTTCCTAATTTTTTAAATAATGTTTCCATTCAAGTATTTTGAATTTTAAAATTAATTTATTGAGAATTTTTAAATTCTTAAGAAGGATTTAATCAAAAAATTTGAAAATAATTGAATTCTTTCAAAGAATTTCTTTAATATTTTTAATATAATAGATTTTATTAATAATTCCAATCAATTTTGGATTAATTTTAGATTCAAAGTTTAGAAACCTTCACTTATTAACTACATAATCAATTATTATTATTTTTTATTATTTATTATTATTTATTATATTATTTAGTATTAATTTCTACAATTTTAATAAAATTTATCAAAAGAATGGAATTATTTAAAAAAATTTTAGTAAAGTGTTTGGAAATAATAATTTTTCATAAATAATAAAATAAAGAAATTTTATAACAATTGTACTGAAAGTAATTGAGTTCATGCGAAAAAAAAATCTTCACGTGAATTCAATTATTTTCAAAAAAAATAAATTAAAATTATTAACAAATCCAATTATTTTTGAAATTGGAAAGAAATTCTTCGTAAAATCAAATTACTTTCAAAGTTTTTAATTCAAACTATTTTTCAAAAAATACAATAGTTTTAACTAAAATAATTCAAAAAATTCTTCAAAAGAATTTAATTACTTATGAAGATTAATTAAATTGTTCAAAAGAATTGGAATTTTTATCAATCATTATTGATAAAAATTCCAATTCTTTTGAACAATTTTAAATTATAATTTAAATAAAACTTAATAATAAAATTTTTTATAACAATAATTATGAATAATATTTTTTAAAAAATTGAAGAAATGCATCAAAAGAATTAAATTATTGTCAAAAACTTTAATATATATTCTTTGAATGAATTTAATTATTTTCAATATTTTAATAAAATTCTTTGAACGAATAAAATTGTGAAAAGAATTTATTTACTTCCTACAAATTTTAATAAAATTTAATATTCAAATGTTTAATTACAATTATTTATTAAGAAACACGATTATGATTATTTTAAAAGCTTTAAAGAAATTTTTCATAAAATTCAATTACTTTCAAAATATTCAATTGAAATTATTGAAAAACCTTCATTATTTAAAAAAAAATCAAATAAATTTTTCAAATAATTCAATTATTTTCCTGAATTGTAATACAATTTTTCACAAGAATTTAATCATTTTTAAAGAATTATATTAAAATTCATCGAATGAATTCACTTATTTTCACCAATTTCAATAAATTATTCGCAAAAATTCAACGATTTTCATTAATTCTTTTTCATGAAATTAACTTTGGTGGCAAATAATTTTGAAAATAATCGAATTTTACGATGAATTTCTTTCAAATTTTTTATAATAATCGTGTCTGTTAATAATTATAATTAAAAATTTGATCTTATAAAACAATTTATCAAAACTTTCATAATAGTAATTGAATTCTTTACTAAAATTTTATTAATTAGTCAATTAGTTATTAAATAATTTTTTCTTTAATTTTGAATCTGAAATTATTTAAAAATTGAAGTTAATATTTGAAAATAAAAAATTTTTCAGTTTGCATAATTTGCTAGTTGCTAATATAATAGTCGATAAAAATTACAATTGCAGAGAAATTTTGGAAATGAGAAAAACTCTCGTATCACCGAATGAAACCGATTTAAATAAACGATTGTTGCCGCAAAAACGAGTTCTACTGCCGGACATTTTACAGGAACGAGTAGTAAAAAATGTCACATTTATATCAAGACGTGAAACTGTCGATCCAACAATGGAACCCCTTCAACCCGTTCGAATGTTTGTTGTTTACGAGAATATTGAAGTCTCCGATCAACACGATTCATCTCAATACAGTTCGATGAACGATACAATTACCTACAATATGCGTCTTAAACCTAGTAAAAATAAAGGTAAATAATTTTCAACAGAGATATTATTAGAAGTAACTAACAAATATTTTTGCTACTAATTACAAAATTTCTACTAATTAGAAAATAATTGCCACTATAAATTAGAAAATTTTTTACCACTAATATGACAACTAATATCGACAACTTTTTGACGTTAAAATGAATGAAATATTGTTTATTAAAAATATTTCCACATAAATTACTGAAAGGAATAAAAAGTAAAAAAATTTTTAAAAAAATGTACATTTAAAAACTTTGTTATTAATTTTTTTGATAGTTACACAAAATTATTGTAATTTGTAATAAAAATTCAATTTGAAGAAGAAATAAATAAATTTCGTTCATTTGAACGTTCAGAAGCTGATAATTCTCGAAAATGAAAAAGAAAAATTTACAGGGTACGTGCACCTCGAACGAATGGGAGTCATACCGACAAAAATAAAATCGACCGTGGAAGAAGTGGATTTATCTTCGATAGCAGAAAACGGAGACGAATGCTACAGTGACAGTGAATCATTTTATTCAAAATCAAATTCATCGGAATCAAAAGAAAGGAGGAGTAGAAGCAGATCGAAAAATAATCAACAAATTAATTCAAATATGGCGAAATCGACGCCAAATTTGAATGAATCCGTTCAAGTGTACCAGAGATTACCGACGAGTCGAAGTAAAACTGAACTTGAAAACGACGAGATCGATTACGGTTTCGTGAGCGATTCCCGATCATCGCAGGGACAGAGAAGCGTCAGCAGAGAACCAAGAAGACAAAAACGTGGTCTCAATAGAAATTCCCAGCATCCACTGTTAAAAACTCGATCAGTTAGCGCGAGTCCAGCGAGTAGCACAAGTTCCGGTTATAAATCCAGTAATTACGATATCGACAGTGAATATGGCTATTCAACGAGCAATAAATCAAAATCACCTCTCGATATTGCAGAAATGCCAGATTCTTGTTTTTCCCAAGTGACAAAAACCCTCGAGGGAGGAATCTACGATCCCTTGGAGAATCAAACGAAGCGGATAATAAGTAGTAAGGAGCGTCAAGTGCAAGTCGAACGAAATCGACAGAATTACGACGTTTGGTATTTGAATAGTACAAGATTTCGTAAACGTTTCTATAATGTTTTTATCGAGAGTCTTGCGCCTTTACTGGGTCTAGAGGAAGTCATCAGATTTCGTCGACCACTATTTTTTGGATCAGTTGTCTACTGTGATAAAGTTGAAATAAGTCCAACTGCCAAGTGCAATATTTGTGAATCTTACGAAATTATTCCCTGCATTTGGACCCAGTGGCCAGAGTGTGCGAACGAATGGCTGGAACGAACGAGACATTCGTGGCCAAATTATGAGACGATACGTCAAATAATAAAATTTGGTTGCTACATCATTCCCCAGGAGTGTCGCAGTAAGGACGATCATTTTAGTAGCAAAACCGAGTGGCAACTTGCATTTCCAGCTGCTGAAAGATACCTCGAGACTTGCATGAGTCATTCACAGATGAGAGTTTACATTATTGCTCTCATGCTGCACAAGACATTCATCAGAGCCGTTGAATCCGCTCCCGATCGTCTCAATGCTCATCAAATTCGAAATCAACTATTTTGGCTGATGGAGTATTCAGTGCAGGATTGGTCTGAGAACAAGACAGGTATTTAGTATTTTTATTTCTTAATTTAAGAAAATGTAAACAGGGTTCCCACGCTTTTGCTCATTTCAAATTCCCAATGACTTTTCCATGTTTTACAGGTTTTTAAAACTATATTTATATTTTACCAAATTAAATAACTACTTGACTTCTAGACAAATCTTTGACTTTTACCCTGACACTAAAGAATATTCTGATTCACTCGCAAAATGATTAGGTACACAAAAAAATGTTCTATTACATTTATTTGCGAACCTCTTTAATTGAAAAATTATTCGAAAACATCAATAACTTCATTTTTAAATAAATATTTAATCATTATTTTGCCACAGGAATTAAGATTTTAAAAAATTTGAAATTTGAAATTCAATAGAAGAATTATAAAACTTGCTAATTTGTTGATGTAACTTCCTTAAATTATTTTCATCATTTCGATTATTCATTTCTAAAATTTTCCACTTAAACTCTTCTTTAAATCAATTTTTGTAAAATAATTTTTGAAAAAGTTCTTTGAGAATTTTCAAATCTCCTTTTGTTTACAATTTAATTTTACGAAATTTCGATTAGTCTGACATTCTTCAATTAAATAAATTAAAAACTTCAAATAATTTTAAAAAAATAATTCTACAGAATTCTTAATTTAATTAAAAAAATAAAAAGTTCAAATTTTCAAAGATTTTAATTTGAAACTTTTTGAAAATTCAATTATTTCTAAAAATCCACGCTTTCAATACTCAATTGTAAATTAAAATTTTAACTGAAATACATGTTTAAATCAATATTTATTAGAAAATTCTACGAGAATTCAATTATTATTTAAATACAAAAATAAATATTTTATTATATTAAATTTTTCATAAAATTGAATTTTCATAAAGAATTTTATCAACAAATTTTTAAGCAATTGAATTCTCTTAACAAATTTTAATAGAATTTTTAAGAATAATTTTATCTTTCGAGAAATTTGTTGAAAATTGTATTAAAAATAATTGAATTTCTGCGAAGAATTATATTATTTTTGAAAATAATTAAATTGTTTAGAGAAATTTTATTAATCTTAGATTCAAAATGATTGAATTCCTCTAAAGAATTTTATTATTTAAGAAAAGAATTTAATTCATGCGAAGAATTTTAATTTTTATGGAAATAATTGAATTTTTTTGAGAAATTTCGTTTAACTTCTTTTCAAAATAATTGAATTTCTCTGAAGAATTTTATTATTTATAAAAATAATTCAATTTCTTCGAGAAATTTTATTAAAATTATATTGAAAAAAATTAAATTTCTCTGAAGAATTATTATTATTTATGAAAATAATTGAATATTAAATGTTTCTTAAAATTGAATTTTCATAAAGAAGTTTATCAACAAATATTTAAATAATTGAATTCTCTTGACAAATTTTAATAAAATTTTTTAAAATAATTTCATTTCCCGAGAAATTTGATGAAAATTGTATTAAAAATAATTGAAATTCTGCCAAGAATTTTATTAAAATTTTGTAAAATAATTGAATTTTGGAGAAAAATTGTATTATGTATTTATAAAGATAATTGAAATTTTAACGAGAAATTTTGTAAATTTTTGAACATAATTTAATTTCTGCAAAGAATTTTATTAATTTTGGAAATAATTGAATTATTGAGACGAATTTTATTAAAATTTCTTTTTAAATAATTGAATTCTTTTGTTAAATTTTATTGAAATAGTAGACATTGAAAATAATTGAATTTTGACAAAATTTTTGAAATTACTTAAATTTTTATGAAGAATTTTATTAAAAATCATTGAATTGAGGACAATTTTTGAAAATAATTGAATTTTTAGAAGAAATTTAATTAAAACTGTATTGAAAATTAAATTTAAATTCTAATAAATGAATTGTAGCAAAGGTTTTGAAAATAATTGAATTTCTGCAATAATTTGTAATTGTTTCTAAATTCAATTTGTTTAAGTGTTTTTAACTGAAATTAATATCTTTTGAAGTTTATATTCAGGTTGCGTGGCAACCCTGATGTAGAATTAGAAGAAAATAATTTCGAATATTTATAATTTTACAGGCGATTATTTGATAAAACTTCTGCAGTGCTTGTGTGAGTGTATCAATCAAGACGAGGCATTTCTCAAGGATTATTTTCTAGAGGAGAAAAATCTATTCAAAAACTCGGAAAAAGGATCATTATTCTTTTCACTAAAACAATTAAAAAGAATTCTAGAGAATCCTGTCATGTATGTTTTGCACGCGTTGGAAAATATTCGCTATAAATCGGAGTTTTTTCCAAAATTGAATTACGAAGAATTGTTGAAAATATTAACGATAGATGAATTATTGCTGATAAATCCAAATCTACAGAAGGATAGTGCGCCGATAATGAAACAAGTTTTCATGGAAGACGAGTACAGTGTACGGCGGGGATTTTGGGACGATGCGAAGAAAAATAAAGAGCACTTTTCGAATTTACATCGAAGACCTGTGACCAATAAGACGTTGATTAATCCCAGTAGGGCACACGACGCGGTCGTTGATATCGCGGTAAAAATTTCGTTTCTTTCTCTTTCTTTCTTTTTTTCTCGATATTTTTATTATTCTAGAGAAATTTTTATTATACCGAAAAATATTTTGCTTTCAGATCCGTTGCGGAGAATTAAAAGGCATCCGACTGAGTAAACTACTGAATTTCTTCATCGAACATCTGATTAAAATGGGCGAAAAGTACCACGAATACGGAGCGGTGAAGCAAAAGAACGAATACCTTCAACACGCGATGAGTTTGAGTATTTTACTCGCCGAGGATGAAATGTTTCGAGAAGATGCTCGTTCGCAAATTCGCGAAATTGTTTCCCTCCAGAGACTGATAACTACTTCTACCTCACGGGACGATCCACCAGAAACACCAAAAAGAAATCCAGAAATGCCGATATTCACCTCAACTTCTAGAAATACGAATCCTTCGACAAGTTCCTCAATTTCTTCCTCGAATCCAGAAGCGAATTCACAAGAAGAATTTCTTGAAAGAAGTAAAAAGAAATCAGACACCTCTCCATATTCAGTGTCATTAAAAGATCGATACTCCTCACCATCAAATCAATCTTCAAAATTCCCAACGGAAGAGATTTCCCGAAAAAAGTCCGATCCTCCGGTTTATTTTCAATCGTTTAATAGTCGATTTTCTAATACTTCTTCTGATGATACTGCTGCATTATCGCCTACTGAGGAAAATATTTCCAGGGAAGTTCCAATTGCGAAAAGGGAGAAAGATAATCTTCCAGAATTAGAAACAAAGAAGAAAAGTTGTCAAAAACAAATTCTAAACTCGGAAGAAGAAACAACAAAAGAAACTATTAATCGAGTTGGTAGTTCGAAAACGCCGGAAGGAAACATTGTAAAACAGCGAATGAAAATTTACTCAAACTCAGAAGATATTTCAGAAGCAAGAAAGAGAATTTCCGATCCAATCTCAATGGAAAGGGAGAAAATTGTCCCTTCTGATCTAGTTCCGAAGGGAAAAAATGATGTACTAGGTCAAAGTGATCAAACACCAAAAAAGAATATAACAAGTGTTCAAGTTAAAAAGTTTGAAGAAAAAAAAGAAATTACGAGTCAACACAAGAAAATTGTTCCCCCTGATCCAGTTTCGAAAGAAAAAAAAGACTTCCTCAGTCAAAGTGATGAAGCACCAGAAGAGAATAAAACTAGTGTTCAGATTAAAATCTCTGAAGAAAAAACAAATCAAGAAACTACGAGTCAAGATAACAGTTCCGTTAGTACAGGAAGAGTCAGTGTAAAAGACAGAATAAAAATTTACTCCAGTCCAAAGGAAGTTTTTGCAGAAGCAAAAAAGAAAATATCGCAAGAGTCGAAAGTGATTTCATTAACAGATGACAGTAGTGATTCTTCTAAAGATACGTATATTTAGACTTTCTTCCAATAATAATTTCCCCCTACAAGAATTATTGATTTTGAACAATCTAGTATTCTCGTGATAAGACGAATTAAAAGCCGGACAAAAAAAATGAAGTGACGTACTTTTTTGTGTGATAATTATAAGAGTGATGCGTTGAATGACTTTGCAAAAACTTTTTTTTTCCCACCTTCACTATCGTAATCTATATTTTAATTTTCTGTGTTTTAAAAGAAGACAAATGACTTAATTTATAAAAGAAACTCATAAAAGTGATAAAAATCCGTTGTAAAACTTATTTACTCCTACAATATTAGTAAAAATCTCGAATTATTACGTTGCAAATTTTTTTAGAATGAAAATTTTTTCTCAAATTGTAAAAGAGTTGAGAATAGAAATTCTTTTTTCCATTTATAAAAGTCTGCGATTTCATTTTATTTCCGTATTAATAATTTTACTTTCGTACCTATTAATATTTTTAATTTTTCGTAATTAATATATTAATATTAAAAAGAATTATTTCTTAAATTGCAAAAAGTTATAAAAATAGAAAAATTTTTCTCCATTTATAAAAATATGTTTGCGATTTAAAAAATAATTTTATTTCCATATTCCAAAATAAATTTTTATTACTTACAGTAACACCATGTTCTGAGTAAAAATCTGCAGTCCCCATGCTGGCATATAATTTGTATCCCATTTTATCGAGACTTCTGATGTAGGGCAATAATTCCATTTTGTGCTATTAAACAAAAAAAAAATTAATTTATTTTCCCACATTCGAAGAAAAAAATTTGTTTCCAGAATTAATGTTCACAAAAGATATAGCAGTAAAAAAATTAGCAACATTGTATAAAATATTTTATTACGAAAACGAAAAATTAATTTATTCCTAGCAAAATTGAAAGAAGAAAATCTTTTCTAGAATGAATGTTTACCAAATATAATATAGCAGAAAAAATAATAAAGCAATTAAAAAAAATAATATAGCAATTGAAAAAATAATATAGCAGTTAAAAAAATAATATAGAAGTTGAAAAAATAATATAGCAGTTGAAAAAAATAATTAGCTACATTGCATAAAATATTCGATTGTATAGATTAAACAAAAATTTATTCCTTGAAAGATGAAGAAAAAATCTTTTCTATAATTAATTTTCACAAAAGATAAAATAGCAGTTAAAATCAATATTAGCAACATTGTATAAAGTATTTGATTGCCTATCGATCGACAATCAAACTCTAAAAATGTGTTGAAATATTTTTCCTGGAAAAAAGATTAAATAAAAATAGTCACTTTGAATGCTCCAATTGATAGTAAAATGCCTCTTTGCGGAATATGAAAGCCAGTGCTAAGCATTCCTTTCAGATAAGCTTCATATCGATTGTCACCAAAACATGCTACTTCTCCGGTTGATGCCATTTCGACACCCAACATAACGTCGGCACCTTTAATAAAAATTTGGAAAATTTAGTTAAAAACTGCAAGATTTCTTTTTAAACACTAAAACCTTGATTTTCTTCACAGAACTCGAAGCAGTGAAAGTTCTTTGACAATTTTCAAATTCATTTCTTTACAAAATTCAATTTTACGAAATTTCAATTATTTGTAAATTCTTTAATTAAATAAATATTAGAAAATAGAAACTAAAAATAATATTTAAAAAACTCAATTAAACTTTTAAAAAAAAAATCAATTACAAAATTCAATTATTTTTTAAAATTTTAACTGAAATTCATTTTTATGAAAATGAAAATCAATTTTTATTAGAATATTCTACTAGAATTCAATTATTTAAATACAAATAAAATGCAAATAAATAATTTATTGAATAATTGAACGTTTCTTAAAATTCAATTCCTATAAGAAATCGTTATTAACAAAATTTTCAAATAATTGAATTCTATCAACAAATTTTAATAAAATTTCTAAGAATAATAACATTTTCGAGAAATTCGATTAAAATTGAAATTCTGCATTGAATTTTATTATTTATGAAAATAATTGAATTCTCGCGAAGAATTTTATTAAAATTTTCAAAAATAACTAAATTCTTGTAAAAAATTAACAGGAATTCAATTATTTAAAAAAAAAAGTTTTAATAAAATTCTTCGCAAGAATTCAATTATTTTTAAAAATATCAGAATTTTAGCAGAAATTCAAACATTTTAAAAAGTTTTGATAAAATTTTTTTTTGGTAGAAATTCAATTATTTTTAAGACAATTTAAAAAAAATGTCTCAATAAAATTTAATTATTTTTAAAATTTTAATGAAATTCTTCGAAAGAATTCAATTATTATAATCTAAGATTTTAACTGAAATCTATTTTTAAATCAATGTTTATGAGAAAATTCTACCAGAATTCAATTATTTAAATACAAAAATAAATAATTTATTGAATAATTGAATGTTTCTTGGAATTCAATTCCTATTAAAAATTTTATCAACAAATTTTTAAATAATTAAATTCTTTGAACGAATTTTAATAAAATTCTTAAGAATCTTTTCAAGAAATTCAATTAAAATTGAAAAAAATTGAATTTCTAAAAAGAATTTTATTATTTACGAAAATAATTGAATTCCGGTAAAAATTTTATTAATATTATGAAAATAGTTGAATGATTGCGAAGAAATTTATAAAAAAAAATTGTTAAATTAAAGAAATTCTTGTGAAATTTTAATTATTTTTTAAAAATAATTAAAAGTTTTTGTAGAATTTTATTAAATTTTTTTCTTAAATAATTAAATTCTTTTGGTAAATTTTAGGGAAATAGTAGATATTAAACAATATTTCATTTTTGAGAAGAATATTATTACTTTTGAAAATAATTCAAATTTTGCAATGGATTTTATTAAAATTTTTGAAAATAATTGAATTTTATTACTTTAGAGAATAATTGAATTCGTGTGATAAATATTGTTAATTATGAAAATAATTTTGCTATTTATTTATAAAGATAATTGAAATGTTGACAATGTTTTTTAGATTTTTTGAAAATAATTGAATTTCGGAAAAGAATTTTAATATTTCTAAAGATAATTGAAATTTTGACGAGAATTTAAAAAAAATTTTAAACATAATTGAGTTTTTGCGAAGAATTTTATTACTTTTAAAAATAATTGAATTTCTGCAATCATTTGTAATTTCTCTAAATTTCTCCAAATTATATCGTCCAATTTACGAACTTTTCATCCTTTTTAAATGAAATTACGGACTTTACGGACTTTTTTTTTTTTTAAAAACGGACTTTTACGGACTTAAAGCAAAGTTACGGACTTTTTCAAGACTAACGGACCTACTTCAAGCCCTGTCTTCACCTAGAAAAAAATAACTTTTTAAAATTTTAGATTGATTTTTAAATTACCAGTCAAGCGAGAAAATGAGAATTGAGGGACTTTTACTCCAACTTTTCCAGAACCAGTTAAAAGACCAACGGGTTTGACAGTTTCTCCAACAATTAAACGAGTTGCTGTAGCAACAAAATCGTGATCCAAAGTTTTCGAGACAAATGGAAATGATCTCGAGACACGAACGTTACACTCGATAACTTTGAGTTCGTTATCCTAAGAAATAATTAATAATAAATGTAAATAAAGTAAAAAAAAGCAAATGAATAAAAAAATTTAATAATAAGTAAATAAGAAAAGTTAATAATAAATAAAAAAAAATAAATGAAAAAATTCAATATGTAAATAAGAAGAAAATTTAATAATAAATAAATAAGGAGAAAATTTAATAATAAATATTCCAATTGCCTTGGCGATCAATTGCATATTGAATGGTCCAGTGACAGACAATGATGCAGCAACGTCTTTTGCAATTGTGCAAATTTTTGCGAGAGTTTCCTGATTAATATCCTGCGGCGGTGTCACCAAAGTTGCATCTCCAGAATGAACGCCGGCATTTTCCACGTGCTCAGAAACAGCCATACAGAAAATTGTCCCATCATAGGCAACAGCATCGACGTCAATTTCCTTCGCTTCGAGAATAAATTTCGATATGACGACAGGATGCTCCTTACTGACATTGCTGGCAATTTTTAAATAAGACTCTAAATCGTGATTTGAATGTACAACATTCATTGCAGCGCCACTTAAAACATAGGAAGGCCGCACCAAACATGGATAACCGACTTCTTCACAAAATTCAACGGCCGATTCAAGATTCGTCAGTTCTTTCCATCTGTAAAATTCAAAATCTAAATTAAAAAAAAAGAATCCAAAAAAGAACCAAATTGATATTAATTGTTCATTGACTGATAAATAAAAGTTGATATTAAAAAAAAAGAATATGATAATTTTCTAAAAAATTATAAATAGATTGAGAGTTAAACCTAGGTTGAGAAATTCCAATTGAGTCGAGTTTTCGAGAGAATTTAAATCTATTTTCAGCATCATCAATGGATTCGGGAGCGGTTCCGAGAATTCGGGCCTGTTGTCTGTGCAGATCCATGGCAATGTTGTTTGGAAGTTGTCCACCCATTGATAAAATAATACCTTCTGGATTTTCGTGCTCATAAATATCCATAACAGTTTCGAAAGAAATTTCCTCAAAGTAGAGTCGATCGCTCATGTCGAAATCGGTACTCACTGTTTCTGGATTATAGTTCACCATTATTGTTTTCCGTCCAAGATTTTTCAATTCACGAAGACAACTCACTGCACACCAATCGAATTCAACGGAACTTCCAATTCGATAAACACCCGATCCTAGAATTTTTGTTTAAAAAAAAGTATAAATTTTGTAACTTTTTAATTTTAAATTTAAAATAATTTAATTCTTGTAGGATAAAATTAAAATTTAAAAAAAATTCAATTCTGTTCAAGCATTTAATTAAAATTATATTTAAAATAATTAAACTTTGTATAGAAATTGTTCGACATTTGTTAAAATAATCGAATGTTAGTGAAGAATGTTAAAATTTTTAAAAATAATTGAATTATTTCGAAAAAATTTATTAAAATTGTAATGAAAAAAATTAAATTCCAACAAAAAATTTTATTAAAAATATGAAAATAAATGAATTCTTGATAAGAATTTGATTAAAATTTTTGAAAATAATTAAATTCTGTTCAGGAGTTTAATTAAAATTATAATAAAAATAATTCAATTCTAATAAAGAGTTTTATCAGAGATTCTTTAAAAAAATAATTAAACTTTTGCGAAGGATGTTATTACATTCTTTCGAAAAAATTGATTAGGACTGTAAACAAAATAATTAAATTCCTGCAAAAAGTTTTAATAAATACGAAAATAATTGAATTCTTGGTAAGAATATGACTAGAATTTTTTAGTTCTTTTCATAAACTTAATTAAAATTGTGTTAAAAATAATGAAATTCTCATAGAAATTTTGGAATTTTATTACATTTTTGAAAAAAATTAAATTCTTTGCCAAATTTGATTAAGATTGTGTTGGAAATAATTGAATTCCTGTAAAAAGTTATATTAAATATGAAAAGAGTACAATTCTTTTTATGAACCTAATTAAAATTGTAGTAAAATAAATTAAATTCTTATAGAAACTTTGAAATTTTTTGAAAAGAATGTTATTAAATTTTTTTAATGTAATTAAATTCTTGAGACAAATTTAATTGTAATTGCACTCATGTGGAAAATTTTATCAAATATGAAAATAATTGAATTCTTACTAAGAATTTAATTAAATTTTTTGTAAATAATTGAATTGTTATAATGAATTTTATGAAGATTTTTGAAAATAGTTAAATTTTTGAGAAGAATGTTATAAAGATTTTTTTGAATTTTTATGAAATCAAGTATGAAATTAAATGAATTTTTGCTAAGAATTTTATTAAAATTCTTGTAAATAATTGAATTGTTATAATGAATTTTATGAAGATTTTTGAAAATAGTTAAATTTTTGCGAAGAATGTTATCAAAATTTTGTTAAAATAATTGAATTCGATTAAGAAATTTTTTGAAAATTTTGTGGAGAATAATTGAATTTCTGAGAAAAATGTTATTATTCATGAAAAAAAATTGAATTTTTATCAAGAATTTAATAATTCATGACAATAATTTAATTCTTAAATAGAATTTTATTAACATTTTTGAAAATAATTGAATTTTTTTATAAATTACAGTAAAATTTAAAAAATAATTAAATTCATTCAAGAAATATTCTTAAAATTAGTTTGAAAATAATTGAATTTCTTTAAAGAATTTAAAAAAATTTTTCAAAAATAATTGAATTTCTACAAAGAATTTAATTATTTTTTATAAAAATAATGGAAATTTTGCGAAGAATTTTACTAAAATCTATTAAAATACTTGAACTGTTCCGTGAAATTTTATTTAAAAAATAAATAAATTCCTACAAAGAATTTTATTATTTAGGTATAAAAAATAATTGAATTCTTATAAAAAATATTATTCAAATTTTCAAAAAAAAAAATGTAAATAAATAAATTTTTTAAAAATAATTGAATAACTACGTAGGATTTTATTATTATTATTTATTATTCTTTCGATGAATTTAATCCAAATTATATTGAAAATAATTGAATTCTTTAAAAAAAAATTTATCAAAAATTATAGAAAATTCAATTTTTTTTAAGAATTTCATCAAAATTTTTTAAAATATGTAATTAAATTCTTTAGACAAATATTATTAAAATTGTATTGAAAATAATTGAATTTCTGCGAAAAATTTTATTATCTATGAAAATAATTGAATTTCTGTGAAATCAAATATGAAAATAAATGCATTCTTGCTAAGAATTTGATTAAAAATTTCTAAAATAATAAACAATAATAAATAATTATTGGTAAATTATTTAAAAAATTTTGAATCTGAATTAAATACGATTTGAATTCATCTAAATTGAAATTAATATTCGGAAATAAAAAATCCGATTTGCATAATAGTAATAAATTAAATATAGCGTTTCGTGCGTTGGCGCACGTAACATTTCCTAGTAAATAAAATAAAATCAAAAATATTTCAAAATGATTAAATAATTCCAATGAAGTAATAATTTTATCATTTATAATAACACTTACCAATGACCATTGTGTAATTTCCCGGGAATTCGATATCGTGATCTTCGCCATTATACGTAAGATAAAGATAATTTGTACTCGCTGGCCATTCGGCGGCAACAGTATCAATTTGCTTAACAAATGGCGTGATGCCAAATTCATTTCGTTGCATTCGCACCAAACGATCGGAAATTTTTGCAGCCTCAGCAATTTGTCGATCGGAAAATCCAATTTTCTTCGCCTCAAGTAATAAATTACGTGACAATTTTCTTTGACCTAAATTTTCCAAAAGATCATAATACGATATGATGTTTTTCAATTTTGAAAGGAACCAACGATCAATTTTCGTTAATTCATATAAACGATCAACTGAATAGCCGGCTTTTAATGCAGCGGCCACAACAAACATTCTCTTATCCGTTGGCTTCTCCAAGTCATCATCGTTCACTGTTCTCACATAGGGATCGAAACCCGTCACATTCTCGTCGACCATTCGCAGTGCTTTCTGAAATGCCTCCTCAAATTTTCTTCCAATTGCCATCACTTCACCCACACTCTTCATACTGCTTCCAATCTAGAATATTTTCAAAATTATTTTCATTGTAATTTCATTTAATAATCGTTGGAATATTTCATTTGTTAATTTCAATTTTAAAAAGAATTCGAAAAAGAAGAAAAGGAATTTCTTTGATTACCTTGGTGCTGACACGTTGAAACTTGCTGAAATCCCATCGTGGAATTTTGACGACACAATAATCTAAACTAGGTTCAAAGCAAGCGGTAGTTTTTCCTGTTACTGAATTCTGAATATCCGGGAGGGAAATTCCAAGAGCCAATTTAGCAGCAACGTAAGCCAACGGATAACCAGTGGCTTTACTAGCTAAAGCTGAACTTCTCGAAAGTCGCGCGTTCACTTCAATAATATAGTACTCTTCGGAAAGTGGATTCAACGCATATTGAATATTACATTCGCCGACAATACCAAAATGTCTAATGACATTAAGAGCAGTTGTTCTCAGCATATTGTACTCGCGATTAGAGAGAGTTTGACTTGGAGCGACGACAATTGATTCGCCAGTATGAATACCCAAAGGATCGACATTCTCCATATTGCAAACTGTTATGCAATTATCGTAGGCATCGCGAACAACTTCATATTCAACTTCCTTCCATCCTTTCAGCGATTTATCAATGATTAATTGATTCGAATGAGCAAGAGCCTGTTGAGCGAGTGTTTTCAATTCTTCCACATTATTCGCGAAACCAGATCCCAAACCACCAAGAGAAAAGGCCGCTCTCGCCATTACTGGATAGCCCAATTTTTCCGCTGCCTCCAGTGCCTCATTGATTGTATAAACAGCCGCACTGGGCGCAACTTTTTCATTAATTTCACAAATACGATCAGCAAACATTTTTCTGTCTTCTGTCTCGATAATCGATTCAATTGGAGTTCCAAGAATTTTCACATTGTATTTCTTGAACACACCGTTCTTTTCGAGTTCAACGCCGCAATTTAGTGCCGTCTGTCCGCCGAATGTCAGGAGAACTCCGTCTGGACGCTCCGATTTTATGACCTGAAATCAATTTTATATTTTAGACGAAATTTTTTCATTTCAATTTAATTTATTTTTTAGTTATTTTACATTTTTTAGACATTTCAGGGCTCGAACCAGTGAAAGTATTTAAAAATGAGGCTTTTATGGAACAAAAATGAAGAATTACGGACCAACTGACAAAAATATAATCAGGCCGAGTCAAATAAAGGAACATTTTACTTAAAACATGAAGATATCGATAACTCCGAGTCTTCGACTCGGAGTCATCGATTTCTTCATGTTTTACAATAATTAAAGATGACCGAGTGATAAAATCATTTACAATTCAATTATTATTTACAAGAATTTTTAACTAAAATTCTTCTTTAAATCGATTATTTTTAATAATTTTCGAAAAAGTTCTTTGATAATTTTCAAATCCATTTGTTTACAATATTCAATTTTACGGAATTTCAATTATTCGTAAATTCTTCAATTAAATAAATATTAGAAAATAAAAACTTGAAATAATATTAAAAAAATTCAATTAAACTTTTTCAAAAAAATTAATTTAAAAATTCAAATATTATCTAAAATTTTAACTTGAATTAATTTTTTAATCAATTTTTATTAGAAAATTCTACGGGAATTCAATTATTATTTAAATACAAAAATAAATATTTTATTATATTGAATTTTTCTTAAAATTGAATTTTCATAAAGAATTTTATTAACAAATTTCTAAACAATTGAATTCAATCTCTTAACAAGTTTTAATAAAATTTTTAAGAATAATTTAATTTTTTTGAGAAATTTGATGAAAATTGGATTAAAAATAATTGAAATTCTGCCAAAGAATTTTATTAAAATTTTTGAAAATGATTGAATTTTGGAGAAAAATTTTATTATTTATAAAGATAATTAAAATTTTGTAAATTTTTTAACATAATTGAATTTCTGGGAAGAATTATATTATTTTTGAAAATAATTAAATTTTTAGAAAAATTTTATTAACCTTAGATTCAAAATAATTAAGTTCCTCTGAAGAATTTTATTATTTATGAAAATAATTTAATTTATGCGAAGAATTATAATATTTATGGAAATAATTGGATTTTTTGAGAAATTCCATTAAACTTCTTTTCAAAATAATTAAATTCCTAGAAATAATTTAATTATTTCTGAAAATAATTAAATTCTATTGAGAAATTTTATTAAAATTATATTCAAAATAATTAAATTCCTCTAAAGAATTTGTTGTTTTTGAAAATAATTGAGTTCCTCTGAAGAATTTTATTATTTAAAAAAAAAAAATAATTCCTCTAAAGAATTTTATTATTTTTTTAAGGAAATACAATCCTTCCTCTATGAGCAAACAATTGTTGAATTCTTTTGAGAAATTTTATAAAAATTCTATTCAAATTATTGAATTCCTACGAAGAATTTTATTATTTATAAAAATAATTCAATTCCTTTAAGAAATTTTATTAAAATTATATTGTAAAAAATTGAAGTTCTCTGAAGAATTTTTATTATTTATGAAAATAATTGAATATTGAATGGTTCTTAAAATTGAATTTTCATAAAGAGTTTTATCAACAAATTTTTAAATAATTGAATTCTCTTGACAAAGTTTAATAAAATTTTTAAGAAATAATTTCATTTTTCGAGAAATTTGATGAAAATTATATTAAAAATAATTGAATTACTGTAAAGAATTATATTATTTTTGAAAATAATTGAATTATTGAGACGAATTTTATTAAAATTTCTTTTTAAATAATTGAATTCTTTTGTGAAATTTTATTGAAATTTTAGAAATTCAAAATAATTGAATTTTGAGAAATTTTTAAAATTAATTAAATTTCTATGAAGAATTTTATTATAATTATTTTGGAAAAAATTGAATTGTTACAAAGAATTTAAAATCTAAAATTTTAACTGAAATACATTTTTAAATCAATGTTTATGAGAAAATTCTACTAGAATTCAATTATTTAAAAATATTTATTGAATAATTGAATGTTTTTTATAAAATTAATTCCCGTAAAGAATCGTTTTCAACAAATTTTCAAATAATTTAATTCTATCAACGAATTTTAATAAAATTTTTAAGAATTTTTTCGAGAAATTTGATTAAAATTGTATTAAAAATAATTGAAATTCTGCAATGAATTTTATTATTTATGAAAATAATTGAATTTCTAAAAAGAATTTTATTATTTACGAAAATAATTGAATCCATGTAAAAATTTTATTATTTATGAAAATAATTGAATGATTGCGAAGAAATTTATAAAAAAAATTTGTAAAGTGTAGAATTTTGTTAATTTTTTTTAAATAGGTAATTGAATTCTTTTGGAAAATTTGATGAAAATATTATATATTTAAAATCATTGAATTGAAGAAAATTTTTGAAAATAATTGAATTTCGGTAAAGAATTTAATTATTTCTAAAGTTAATTGAAATTTTGATGAGAATTTTTAAAAATTTTGGAACAAAATTGAATTTCTGCGAAGAATTTGATTACTTTTGAAAATAATTGAATTTCTGCAATCATTTATAATTTCTCTAAAATTATCCAAATTATATCGTACAATTTATGAATTTTTTATACTTTCTGAATCAAATTACGGACTTTACGGACCTTTTTTAAAAAAAACGGACTTTTACAGACTTTAAGCAAAGTATGGATTTTTACGGGATTTACGGACCTAGTTCGAGCCCTGATATTTTGATTTTAGTAATATTTATTTATTTATTTATTTACCTGTTCGACATATTCCGGAGTGATGGGAAGAAAATAGACTTTATCAGCCATTCCTTTCGATGTTTGAACAGTGGCAATATTGGGATTGATGAGAAGTGTTTGAATTTTCTCTTCGCGAAGTGCTTTGATTGCTTGCGAACCAGAATAATCGAATTCACCAGCTTGGCCAATACTGAGACCACCACTTCCAAGAATCAAGACCTTCTTTGGTTGAAAACGACCATAAGGAATTTCGGCAACATAAATTAATTTCTCCTTCAATAATTCCTTGATTGTGCTTCCTTCACGATTGTTAATTGTCTCGAGAAATACATCGAAGAGACATTCAAGATCACGTGGGCCGGCAGTGTGCTCCGGATGAAATTGTACGGAAAAATAAGGTAATTTAGAATGAACAATACCTTCGTTACTTTTATCATTTGTATTTGTAAATAATGCCTCCCAATCTTTTGGCAATTTATCCGCATCTATTGCAAATCCATGATTTTGCGATGTCATGAAACATCGATTGGTTCCATGATGTGTGACCGGTTGATTGTGACCACGATTGCCGTAACTAGAAAGAAAGAAAGAAAGAAAGAAAGAAAGATAATTTTCGTTTCTATAATTTATGATTAATAGATGGAAAATTTTCTAAACTTACTCCATTTTGTAGGAGGTAGCACCGGCAGCTAACGAAAGAAGCTGATGTCCCAAACAAATTCCAAATATTGGTTTTGGTTTTGATGATGATAAATATTTTTTTATATTTTTCACAGTTATTTCGCACATTGCGGGATTACCTGGTCCATTGCTTATAAAAAGACCGTCAAATTCTGTTTTTGTAAAATCGTAGTCCCATGGTACAACATCCAATCGCACATTTCTTTTCAGAAAGCAACGCAATTGATTGTATTTTAATCCACAGTCAATGACGCAAACGCGTGGAAATCCTTTAGGATTGTACGTTTTTGGATCTTTCTGAAAAATTAGAGAGAAAATTACTAAATTATTTATTAAAAAATAAAAATTGACACTTATAAATTAATCATTTGTATTAATGATTTTATAATTAAATTAATAAATTAAATAATTTAAAATTAATAAATTTAAAGTAATAAGTTGTTAAATTACACATGAAACTTCAGCGACCAAATTTCTGGTATTGGGATCAACAATAGGAGGACACAGAGAAGTTTCATCTTGTTTATGACGAACAATTCTTCCTAGAATTGTTCCATTTTCTCGGATAATTTTTGTCAGAGCTCGAGTATCAATTCCAGAAATTCCTGGAATTTTTTCCTTCTCCATCCATTTGGATAAGGTTTGTATTTGTCTCCAATGACTTGGTGTTTCGCAAATTTCGTCAACTACGAGACCAGCTGCCCAAATTCGGTTTGACTCAAACCATCTGTAGTAAACAATTTCAAATTTAATGTTTAGAACTTAGAAATATTTAGAATTTAGAAATTTAAATTTAATATTTAGTAATTTCAATTTAAATTAACACTAACAACCAAGTATTAACGACTTTATGTATTTTTTGCAAGATTAACTTTTAATAAGTATATTTTTTATAGTAAATAATTTTGAATAGAAGAAAAATATGGTATTAAGCATTTCTATAATCTCAAAGAGAAAATAATGACGTGCAGAATTCATATTTTATATTCAGATTTAAAAATAAAATCTCTGCTTTTATAATTCTGATATTTTATAGTTATTTAGTCTAGAACTTTGTATTGCAATCTAAACTCTACATTAAAGTGAAATTTAATATCTTCGTATGCGAAAATTCTTAAATAAGATTAGATTTCTCAAAAAGAATAAAATTTTATAAGTGGAAAGATAATTTCTATTCCTATTATGAAATTTGACAAAATAGAATTTGTACAAAATATTTACATAAGAAGAAAAAATATTACGAAATAAATAACTTGTAGAAAAAAACTTTGATGTAATTTGTAAATTTAAAGAGTTTGCTACTGATTATATATTAGTTAATTTTACGATTTAAAACCGGTTTGAAATAAAATAATTTGAGAACATTATTTTATGTGAGGAAAACAAGATAATTGTTAAACTTACAGTGGTAAATTGTGTTCATCTTTCTCGTCTCCTGGTATTCCATAATTTCCAATTAATGGATATGTTAATACTAAAATTTGAGCATGATACGATGGATCTGTTAACGACTCAGGATAACCCACCATTCCAGTTTGAAAAACTATGACAAAAAGATTTTAAATTTTAAAAAAATTCTTCAGCATTTAGAATTTAGTTTAAATTTAACAATTCAGTTGCAATTATTAAATTTAAATACACATTTTAATTTGTTTAAAATAATTTCAAAATATCAACAATATAAACCTAACAATTCTAATTCAATTTCAATTACTCTCTTTTAATTTTAATTTAAATCATTTTAAATTAAATTTAAATTATTTATTTGAACTTAAATTAAATTTGAATTAATCTGCTTTTCATTTTAATTCCAATCATTTTAATTTAAATTATTTAATTAAATTTCAATCAAATTAAAATTAATTTGTTTTTTAATTTTAACTTAAATAATTCTAAACTAAATTATTATACTAAATTAAATTTGAAGTAAATTTAAATATGTTAATTTTAATTTAAATTCTACTCAGATAAAGAAATAAATTTAACTGTCCATTGAATAGCGTTTTTCTAAAAATATTTTAAACAAAGAATCACTCGTATGAAATAAGATTTTACTAAAAAATATACAATGAAAAATGGAAATTTCTCTTGCAATTTCACGTGAAAACAAAATTACAGAACATTATTTAAAATTTAATAATTTTTGCGCACGTGTGCTTTAATTAAATATTTTTTTTTTGCTCCGAAAATGTTGAATCGTCATAAATTGACGTAGTAGCCGGCTAGGAAAATGGAGTCTCTCGACCACGTGTTACCCTTAAGCATCAAATAAAATAATAACAGAATTTAATTCATACCAATTTCTCCGTCGACACATTCTTTTGCTCCAAAACTTTTTCCAGGAAAAAATTTACCATTCTCCAAAACTAAATAGCAATCCTGGTTGTCCATAATTTTTATATACGTTTCAGAAGATATATCAAAATAATTTCTTAACACAAAAATATCGAACAGTTTTGCTAGAAGGTAAACCGGCAACTGGTGTTCTCTATGAGTACTCCTTCCCTATTCTCACAGCTGAAACATGCAGTAATGTAGTTAGAAATGATATTACGTAGGGGCTGAAATCTTTGTTTGAAAAATTGTGAAAAAATGTAATTAAAAAATGTAATTAATTTGCATTACTCAATTAATATTGCATTTACAATTTAAAAAAAGTTTATAATAATAAATTTCTCTTTTTGTCATGAAATTGTTTACATACCTCGCAATATTTGTATATAAGTAGGTATAAAAAACAAATAAATATATGTTAAATATATAAAGTAAATATAATCATAAATATAGAAAATTAAACTAATTCAGAAGCAAGATTAGAACATAACACAAGAGAATTTTTATCTTTATGCAAAAAGTGAAACGATTAAGCTATTATTAAATATTAATTGCTGACAAATAAAAACTATCAAATGAGAAAAATTATGATAATAATACCTGCTATGATAATTTATAATTTTATAATAATAGAGAAAAACAATGAGTGGTGCTTTTTTGTTTTTTTAGGTTATCTTTTTGTACATTTATGTTCTTTAAAAAAATTGTTATTTATAAGTGAAATTAAATCAAATATAATATTTCAGTACTCACCAATAGTTGTCAGATTTCATTTAGTTTATATTGTTTCGAATATTATTACTTAAATATCGTGTAAATTGTAAAAAACTTGCTAGTTTACGTGCACTTGACAGTTGACGAAATGTCTATAGAATATTCGTTACAGTGTCCTTGTTGCTATGCCAGCTGAAAAAGAAAATAATTCGTATTTTAAAAAGAAAAAATTATAAAAAATCAAAATTTAATTAAACTGAAACATTTTTTTAATATGTAGAAAGTAATTTTTATTATTTTTAAATTAATAAAAATTGATTATTTATTAATTAGATTTTGAATTTTCGACCTTTTGCAGTAGCCAATCAAATCGTCGTATTCCACAAGATGGATTCCTCTAAACCGGAAGTTATAAATAATAGGAACACGGAATAGAACCACAAAAACGCGGGAAGGTGCATCTTTTTAGCGGGAAAGTGGTTGGGGGAACATTTCCGTTTTCACATTGTTGGGCGTCACCCTCGTGCAGAGTTGTTGCTGCACTTTTCTCACTGAATTTTCGTCCTAGAATGGTAATAGTTTTAATAGATTTATAGTAATTTATAAGTTTATGATCCAAAATTTGTAAAATCAATAAAACTTTCCTGATTAAGATATAAATAATAGCTTAAATAATACCTATGTCGAGAAAATTGTGCATGCTGAAAGTTTCGTTAAAAGTATTTTCGACATCTTTGTCAAAATTATTGATGTTATGGTAGAAATAGTTGCCAAAGATTATTTATTTCTTTAAAATTTGTTATTTTCATGGTTTTTTTCATAAATATGATAATTTTCAGATATACCTAAATTGGCGGAAGTGGCGCCATATTGCGCACAGTGTCGCTCGAGCCGCCAACGAATCGACACGCATCACTTTGTTCTCTCGTGAATTTTCATCCAGAAAGGTAATATTTTGCTTATTTCTTATAGAAATTCATGATTCCATGTTAAATACAGTATGCTAAATATGTAGAATCAACAAAATTTTATGAAATATATTTCATAAGATACAAGAAAAGTAAAAATAAAGCTTTGGAAAATTTTCTAAAAATTGAGGTTATGGTTGGCTGAATATTTTCGATATTTTCAAACTTTCAAAGCAAAAATAATATTTTTCCAGAGAAAAACATAATTATTTATATTATTTATTGTTTTCTTTTAATAATTTCCATAAATTTTCCAAATTTTACTGTGTCCAGAATCAGCCAATCAAATCTCTTTATTCCGTTAGGCGAGATTTAGTTCATGAGGCGGCCGCAAGGCGCGCCGGCGCCGTTGATTGTCGGCCATTTTGTCTTGTGCTGACGTCACTCGCAATTGTCGCTGCATTTTCGCTCCTGATTATTCATCTAAAAAGGTAACAATCTGATTAATTCCACAGGAAATCTTACTTTTTTGATGAAAATAGTGTGTTAACTATGTGAAATGAATAAGATTTTCCTAAATACGGCATAGTAACGACTAAAATGAATCGTCAAAAAATTTCTGAAAATTTAGGCTATGTTCGTTTGAAAAGTTTCTATTACTATAATTTGCTTAGAAAAATCGCGTATTTCATGAAATATTGTGCATAATTATTTGCTTTTTAGTAATATTTCTTGTTTTTTCGTATTTTTTCTTTGCTAAATTGAAAATATTTGAGATATGTATATAGATATATCTATTGCTATGCATTATAGTACATTACTATATCTATATATACATTGTACTATAGCTATTGGTCATTGAGCGGACAACAACAAAGATGGCGGCGAACGTTTCGAGCTCATAAATTTCCGTTTTCAATAAACAATTTCTTTTGAGTTAAAATTAGTTAAAGATGGTTATCGAAGACAAATCGTCCAAAAAAATATTGTTCAATGGCTTGCAGTGACGCGTGGTCAATTGATCTCATGAATACTAGTTAAAAATGGTAATATTTTTGTTTTATAACAATTTTATATGTATTTTTCTCTTTCAGACAAATAACTTAGTAATTAAGTATTGAAAATTATCGATTTTAGGTTAGGATTTAATTGATTGATTTTTCGAATAACTTCAAATAAGCTTTTCGTGCTTTTCGACGTTTTTAACAAGTAGTTGAAATTTTAAGGTTATGTTTTTGAGGTCTAATTTTTTTTTCCAAATTTCTACGAAAAAAATATTTTCCGTAACAGTGCTATAGTCGGAAAAATATTTCTATTACTTGGTGGAAAATATCAATTTTGCATTTCTAGAATTTAAATTTTATATTTCATTTTTTTTGAGCTATAAAAATTGAATTTTTGTGACAAATGTCCGTAGGAGACAATTTATTTTTCTGAATATTATTTGAACGTTCAAATAAACAAAATATTTTTCTTTGCTCCGATAATTTTAAAAATTACTGGACAAAAATGAAAAATATCGTAATTGATCATGTATTTAATTAAAAATAAATTTTTTAATTAAACAATGTTTTGAAAAAAAAATTTTAATTTAAAGTAACAAAAATATTTTTCAATTGAACGTTCGAAACATTAGAGACTTAAAAGATATTTTAAAAAATTTGTATTTTCTCAATGTCGCTATATTTATGCTAATCAATAAAAATTTTTAAAATTTTGACGAATTTTTAAAAGATTCGAAAACTAACAATAATTTACCCTCTTAATTTAAATCGGTTAACATCTTGCTTTTAAAATCAATTAAAATTTACTGATTTGTAAGCAAAAAAATTTTTTTTACTGATGAATCAATAAATTTTAACTGATTTGAGAACAAAAATTGATTTAAAAATTAAAAAATTTATTAATTAAATTAAAATTTTTAATTGATTTAAAGAAGTTAAAATTTTTACTGATTCAGATTTAGATAGTAAAAGTTAGAAAAATACAAAAAAATTATTTAGAAACCGGAAATTTAATGTTAGAATCGATTTTTTGCATGATTTTTAATATTTGAGTTAAATGCAAAAATAAAATTTCTAAAATTGATTGCTTTTTGTTTTAAAAATAAAAAAAGCGCATTACCTTTTTGTTGTGTAAAATTTATATTTAAAATTCACCAAAATAGAAAAATGATAAAAATTTCTTTCTTTCAATGTAATTTTTTAATACTTTGTATAAGAAAAAAAATTTTTTTTTTTGTAGATTCTTTTTTGAAATTCGGAAAAGAATTCTGAACGTCTGGAAAGAGAGTATTGAGTCTGGACGATCTTTGCCATAGTCATCTTTTGATAAAAGGTGAAAAATCATCACCGAGGATCTGACACAAGGATCTTCATTTGTGAGTGAGTACATTTTATACAAATGGGTACATTTTACAACTGTGAGTACATTTTACAACAATTATAATATTTTAAACAACATAGTGACACTACTGGTATAAATGAAAAATTCTCTAAATTCATGTTAAATTGTAGTTTAATAAAATAATTATTAAAAACTGATTCTAAAATTAAATTGCAATTTAATTTAAAATTACAAATTGTGATTTTATTTTAAAATACAAATTGTAATTTTATTTTTAATTATAAATTGAATTTTATTTTAAATTACACATAGTAATTTTAATTTTAATTTCTATTTGCAATTTTATTTTTATTTTCAATTATAAATTGAAAGTTAATTTTTAATTACAAATAGTAATTGTAATTTAATTTTCAATTAAAAATTATAATTACAAAGTATATAAAGTGCAAATTCTTTAAATTTATATTAAATTCTAATCTTTATTTTAAATTATTACAAATTGTAATTTTTTGTAAGTTACAAATTGTAATTTTATCTTTAATTATAAATTGAAATTTAATTAAATATTAAAAATTGTAGTTTAATTTTAAATTACAAATTTTAATACAAATTGTAACTCTAAACTAATTTTTATTTTTCATTATAAAATTATAAATTGCAATTTAATTGAAAATTACAAATTATAACTAAATAGTTAGCCATGAAAGGGCACTTGTCTTCAGATTAGAGAATTTATTTGTAAGTTATAAAAAATTTATACCAGTTTTTCAAAATTTTTGTTAATTTAAATTAAATAATTAGATTAATTTAATTAATTCAGAATTAATCAAACTTACTTTTTTATGTTACTTTGTATTATCACACATAAAGTAAATGAAGAATAATTTTTCTACAATTTCCATTTGAAATATTTTAATTAATTAAAAATTGTAAAAATGGTTTAAAAATTAATGTTGCAGTCTATAATATTTTTTTCTTAAAAATATAAATTATTTGTAACAGTTTCTTTCTCAGATTTTAAATACTGAGGTTTTAAAAGCGTCCCGGGACGTTTTTGCACCTAAAATTCTTGGAATAGAAATTGTAGTGTCAATGCCTCAAAATGTTTGTAAGTCAATTTAGACTTTATTATTTGGTAATTAAATAGGGATTTAGTATTTTTTTTGTCTGAATATTGTTGCTTAGTGAAAAAAAACGGAATTGAAAACAGTAAAACTGTGTCACTATGTTGTTATTTTATTTATAAAGAAATTTTTTTCGATTTTTGAAAAAAATGTATTATTTTATTACCTCGTATTGTTTTTTAATTGAATTATCTTCTGCGTTTGATAATTGATAATTCATTTAGTTCATTTAGTTCATTCGAAAATGGACTATAAATTTTTTTCCCTCAAAATGATGAATTTTTCAAAATTTACATAGAATCGAAGATTTTAAATGAGAATTTAAAGATCAATTTTCAATTAAAGTTTTTGATTGAAAAAAACTGGTTTAGAAGAAAATCTCACTTTTAAATTCAAGATAAATTTTCAATTTAAATTTTTTGTGTCTATTGAAATAATAGAAAATTTATTCAATGATTTATGAATATGATGAAAAAAAAATGAAAAATCTTCTAAGAGAGTTATTTTTTCTTAAATTTAAAAAATTTTTATCATTCTATTTTTTTTTTTTTTTGAAAGAATGTATACATATATATATATTGCTTTTGTATTCGTTCTTGACACTTTATCAAAGTTTGAAGGGTGACGAATATCGACAGCAGGTCCCTTTTTCTTTGATAGAAAGGAAAATCAATCGGTTATTTGAGAGCTGCGTCAGAAATTCTTAACTTTTCTAAAAATATCCTCGCATCGTAAAAAAATTTGATCCTTGATGTTATTTTTAAATCTCTTCCTGTGTCAATTTTTTTTCTTCCTCGATTTATGTATCTTTTTACAGTCTCAAAATGGCAAATATACGTTCAATTATACTTGACATTTTGTGGTCCCGAAAGACATGATATCGAAATGCGAAACCGATCGTTCGACGTCATGATTACACACGATATGTTCTGTAAATTGCAAGTTCCTTGGCTCGGAAAAATGATGGATGGGAATTTTAGTTTTTTTTTTTTAAACTCTATTCAGTTTTTCTTTTTTTAGTTTGTTTTTCATTTGGTTTTGAAAATTCAGTGTTTTCAAAAGTATATGGAAAATTTATTGACTGTAATTTTTTGTACGGTGGGAAATTTTTGAATATATTTATTTTTGTCTTTTCTTTCAAAGAAAAAGATTTCCTCTCGATATTTTTAAACAATTGGAGAGTTCTTTTTAAAATTGAATGTTTTATTCCTTTTTTTAAATTAAATTTTTTCGAAGGACAATTTTTAATTTAAATTGTAAAGAAGCGAGGAGTAAACAAAATAATTTTTTTTCTCTCTTTTATACAAAAATTTCCCTTTTCGCATTAATTGAATTTTAAGTAGAAAATTTAACGATCGAACATTACTGGCGTGCAAGTTGGGTTGCATATTTCTTTTTATTAGTCATTGCGAAAAAGAAAATTATGTATTTTTAATATAAAGCGAGGTATTTAGTATTTATTTTCACTGATTATAAAAAATTTGGATTTGTTTTTTATCTAATGAAAATGAATTTGATTTTTTTTAAATTTAAGTAATATTTTTTGGTTGTAATTCCTTTATTTGAAATTTCGTGATGACCACGACCTTTAAGCCAGATTTTGTAGAAAAAAAAGCGTGGGCTGTGCACAAAATGACCTTAGTTCATAATCTTTTTGGACTATATCTATTGATACATTTTCTCTTTCCTAGAAGTGTAATTTTTTTTACCCCCTCAGAACACGTTCCCTTATGACAAGTTATTCTGAACCTGATAATTCTGAAATGACGTCATTGAAAAAAATCATTTTTCATTCTATTATTATTTTTTGTTCTCAATAATTTTTCTCTAATAGAATTTTTCGTTAAAAAAAAGAATTTTCATCTATACGAAATTTCAATTATTTGAAAAAATTGCATTATTAATTGCGCTAATTACTTTTGCGATATTTTTTAAGATATTTAAAAAATAATTTTTTTTCTTTTCTTTCTCTTAAAAGTTTTCTTTATTTTAATTAAATTAAAAATTTTCTCTTAAAAGTTTTCTTTATTTTAATTAAATTAAAAATTTTTTCTTAATTAAGTTTCTATTGTTTACATTTCAAATTACCAGTAAAATACTGAGTTTTTATGTTAAGAGATTTAAAAAAATAATTTTTTTTTCTTTTCTTAAAAATTTTCTTAATTACGTTTCTATTATTTAGATTTGAAATTAGCAGTGAAATACTTGTGATACTTTTTTTTTTTTACTAATAAGGGAACGTCCATAAACTACGTAGACCAATTTTTTGGAAATTTTAACCCCCCCCCCCCTCCCCCACGTGGACGCAATTACATGTATTAGCGCCATTTTTTCCTCTTATGGTAGACAATTGCTTGACCCCCCCCCCTCCCCCTAGACGTGCTACGTAGTTTATGAACGTTCCCTAAATGATCTTTCGAGTAAATAAAAATTCATTTGGAGCAAAATTCCGAGATATTTGTTGAACAAAGTCAGTTGATATATACAAATATTTAAAATCTAAAATTTTTTACTTGAATTCTTCAATTAATTTTAATTGAAATGAAAGACTGGGTATTTAATTTTAAAAGCGAATTGCACATAAATGTGAGTTGAAGGCAAATATTTTATGAAGGTCTTTGTATGTACATGTGGGTGCAGTATGATGATCTAAAAAGTTTGAAAAATTTAACGAGATTTTACATACAGAAAAAATGCTTAATAAAAATACAAGCATTTTGCGTAAATGTTAAACACAGCAATGATTTGACAAATTATTTTTTTTTTTATTTAAAAATTTTTAATTATAATACAAATTAATTCTTGAATTTATATTTATACTTATTTTTATATTTATATTAATATTTAAATTTATATTAATATTTAAATTTATATTAATATATTTATATTATTATTTATATTTATATTAATATTTATATTTATATCTATATTAATATTTATTATACGAAAGCCATAAATATTTACTTTTTCATTTTCAATTTTTGGAAAAATATCGTAGAATAATTTTAGCAATTTTTCTCTCTTCTCTCGAAGGTAATTGATTTTTCATCTGTCTATGAGTGTGTGGTTTAAAATACGTAACTTTAGAGTAGAGTAAAAAAAATAGAAACTCTCAAGAGTTCAGGGGATTCTAATATTACGCAGTCTGGTCTAAAAATAGAATACATGCAATAATTCTGGTACAATTTCGAGTTTTTCATTCAGGAGTTAATTGTTTCGGTTCTATTTTTATCTTCTGTATTTCCTCTATTGAATTGTAAAAAACCAAATAGTAACAAATGGAATGTTAAGAATTCTTCAATTGTATTTTATTTCCGAATAGCAATTTTCATTATTTATAAAAAAAAAAATAATTTTTGAGTGTTTTTCTATTTTATGATGAATTGAATATGGAAACTTTGTCTTCTTCGTCTGACATTTTTGAGTTATGTATTTTGAAAATCTAGGTAGTTTGTAGTTTCAAATTTTTTGTTTGACTTTTTTTTTGACGATAAGAAAAATTGGTTGCTTTTTGAAAAAAATCTTTTGGAGATTTGAGGAGCGATAATGAAGATTAATGATAAAAGCTACAAGGAAAGACTGAAAAAATGGTCCTTTTGGATTTGCAAGAAATAAAGAGGGATAAAAAATCGTGGGGTAGAGAAAGCATTTTGGATAAATAGTGTGTGAGGGGAATGAGGAATGATTCAATGAAAATAGTTTTACATTCAATCTTAAAATACTTTTTTTTTATCACGTGATTATTATTATTATTTTTGCCACTTATGTCGTATTAGAAGTTGATGAGAAGTATATTTTCTGGTAATATGAAAGAAAAATGTTAATCTGTTTAATGATTTTAGGTTCAGAAATAAACAAATAAAAATAGAATCAAATAATTTTTATTGTAATCAAATAAATTGTATTTGAACGAA